TCGAATATCATGCTCCCAAATCTGATGGAGAGGTTACGGATATACTTCTTCTGGCCTGTGGAGATCCGAGAAGTATTTTATATTCGTTGTTCTGCGAAGACAAACCAGGTAAGATCGGTCGTGGTGTACCCCACATTCATTTGCAATTACCAAAACGCTTCTAACCATTTATGATTATCTTACACAGGCAGTGAGAAGTTCCATTTTGTGTGTTGTGATATCGACCCAGCTATTTTAGGTAATGTATCCTATCGTAGTTTAATGGGGTTGTTAGTACTGATCTTTATTTTAGCTCGCAATATTATTTTGTTCTCTCTCATCATCGATAATGCCGCATCGTATGGATCTCAATCCCCACACGATAGAACGAGAATTGGTGCAATTTGGAATCTGTTTTACCACTATCAAATTCCCAAAGAGGATTTGAAGCTCTTACAGGACCAGTCTGAAAAACTTTTGTCCTACTCCAAATTGCCAGAGACATGGGCAGAATCTCCCTATTCTAGCATTACTTTTGTTAGCTTGCAAACTCTTGAGGGGGTCCGAAAGATCTGGGAGAAATATGCTATCCAGAGAAGTGCAGAAGAGCAGCAAGAATATGAGGCACCTAGACGACACACCCTCTCAGAGATACGCCAAAATTTCTCTCAAGGTGGAGGAGGATGTGTGACTTACTCTGCAGGGGTACACTGGTTTGCAGGCTTCAATTCATGTTGGGATGCACTCAAGGGCTATTGGGAAAAGGGGGTGGTTGCTGGGAACAAAGATGATGTCAAGGCTCTTGGCTTTGGTGGAAAGGGAGTTTTGAATCCAACTTTTATGGTGTCAGCTATGTCCGAGGATTTCATCGTTCCATTCACCAGCGATCCTTTGTCGGCATATCACGTTCCACAGGTATTCGACAATCCCTTGAGTGAAAAGCTACGTATGGAAGCCCTGGCAATATCCGCAAAACAAGACTTTGCGGAATGGTGCAAAGCCTTTGCACAATACGCGGCCTCGGGTTCTGTTTTGATCAATGCCTATATGGGAGATGCAGTGACTTTTGCTTATGAGCTAGCATCTCGTGGCAGGTCAAGAAACACGTCTGTTGTTACTCGTCTTTATGCAGATTCATGGTCAGCAAAACCAATGTTGTTGGATGGTCCCGGTGCATCACTTTTACCCCTATCTTTCGAGGTCATCGATACTTCCAATATTGTGGATTACTATGGGCATCTCAATATTCTACCCCCTACAGTGCCCCTTCTATCCAGAACTTTCAGCTCTGTTCTATACACTGAAAGTTTGCGGATCTCTTCTCATGATTTGAAGCAAAATTTGAAGGCTGCACTCTTGATGGATGTCAATCTGGCTTCGTTGTTGTTTGGGCTCACACCGTCTGGCCAGATCATGGGCTATACCACCTATAACAATTATAGCGAGGACATGACTCAACAGACATCTTCCCACCGCTATCGAACACGGCTACCCTGGCGATTTCCATCATTTGGAGACCACCACTGTCGTTCCACATTGAGTCAGCCTATCAAAATCGAAGTCGATGCAGATGAACTCTCTCAATTATGCTTCGATACATATATGAAGATGTTCTCGATTGAAAACCTTAAAAACCGCATCGCACCGGGAGTCCGACCTTTGCGCAGTGAAGCGATGAATTGTTATACACGATTGAGTTTTGTCAATGTCCTGCATCTTATTAAGCAAAATACCACAACTGATTGGATATCCTTCTGCACAAGTCTACGGAAGAAAATTGCAGCTGATACAGTCTCTCACATTGGGGCTAAAACAGTCTTGGAAATCTTTACGCACATTGATCTCTCCAATTTTGTGCCTGGAACCAGAGGCTATGATACTGCATATTATTCTTTTGTCACAATGGTGGTGCCTCGGAGCGACCTGGAAATATTTCTCCAGCCAGACTCTACACCTCATCCTATACTTCATGCTTACATATTCAGACTCGATACCAACGAAGAAAATCTTTTCTTTTCCCTAGACTGTTTCTTTGGAACTCTCAAACCACAAACAGATCCTGAATTGTGTGGAGAGTTTATCGAAGATCCACAAGGCTGGGCTGGTGATTCCGATTTGATCATTTCGTTTCCTGTACCTGCTCACATAGTGAAAGGGAAAAAATGGCATATCGGGCTATGCGTTACCATTGATATGAATGGGTCAGGCTACATGATGGAATTAGGACCAGAGATGGTAGTCTATTATGCATCTGGGAAAAACAAAAGACGAGTGACTGTTTCCAAGGTGCCCCCTGGAATTCCCAAGTCCCGTTTACAACCCGCTCCAGAGATCGCTTCTGAGCAATCATCGATTGAACAATCTGATAACTCCGAGAGCAGAATCACCATAGCAGCTACCAAGCTTAATGGGTCTGTTGCACTGCAGGCAACATACCGCTTCGTAGACGGAACTGAGGAAACCAAAGCACTGCAAAATGCTGCCCTTGTTACACTTTCCGATATTACTCCATGCTCTATACTCCTGAATATCGGGGAATTCAGCCATCGACTCATCTTTCCATACCCGATAGATGGATCCAAAGCGGCCACGAAGATTGCTAGAAAGAGTCTTTGGATTCAAGTCAACGTCCCTCTCGCACCAACTCTGAAATCTGGCGGTTATGACCAAAATCCTTTCCCGTTGATCACCTCTCCATCTAATCAACCGGCAATTTGGGCTCTTCCTCGAATCAATCTCTCTACTCTTCCATGGGTAAGCAGTAGCAATCTAGACTGGTTGAAAGGTGTAGACGATCAAGTTTATAGCGCTCGTGAGAAACGCATATTTGGCAATAATGATTCGTCAACCAATGATTTTCCAAGCACCCTTCTCCAGGTAAAATCTACACTGGCTGATATCATGGTACATATGAATACAACCAAGCTATGTGGCGTCTTCGTCAAAGGGGCCACTATGATCGAAAATGTTGGCGATTTGCTATTAGTCTCGAATGGGCTTCGCCATAGCCGCGAAACAAGCTCACTGGTGTTCGACGGCTGGGTCATTACCGATTTTCTCGGTCGACGACCTTCTCCTCCCGCACTATTGCATTTGATAAGCTATTCGGTTACTCGCAACGAGCACATTTTGTGGAAGAAAATGATACCTGCAGCGGTAGAGTCATGCCGACGGGGTTGGGAACATGATTCATCCTGCGCGTATCGAGATACTCAAGCCCCTCTTTCTATCGAGCCTTACGTATCCCCGATCTGTACGTGTGGTGAAGGAAAAGATGTCGGGGATTTCCCAGAAGACTCGCTGGTTCAACCGTTTAAAACGAACGCTACAAGGATCGCATTGCCGTTGTTGTCGGCAGTCTCTTATGTGGAAGCCATGGATCCACCGGAGCTCTCACATTCTTAGACCACGAGTTACCTATTTATTTTCTTCTTTAGTTCTTCAGCCTCCTTAAGCTAGAAATAGAGCCTTTGTTTTTAGTTCACCTGATAACAATCTATGATGTTTTATTTTTTGCTTTGCAATAAGATTCTATTCTTGAAACTTTTTCATGACCTTGAAAATAAACTCGACAAGGGGACCCAAACTAGAATAACAATTTATTGATGTCAAGGTTTCGTGTTGAAGATATAACAAGCTGACTTCAACTCAAGACTGAACATGCACACTTAACTAGTTAGGTATATAAAGGCTACACAGTACCAATGAAAACTCGCAAAAGGGTGGTCTACCCAGTCCCCTTCGATATCAGAATAGACGATACACAAGTAATCGAGTTCGGCGAGCATACGAATCTCACCACATAGATAGAGTTCTCCATCCGTCCCGTTTGTCTTCTTCCGTCTTTGCGCCTATTTCCGAAATCCCGAGTCGGTGTCTAGACCATTATCCAATGAGTAACTTTGAGCCGTTCAAACGTCGTTTATCTGAAACAACTTGTTTTTGTCATGTGTTGAAGTCTACATTGGGGTACTGGGGTGTGGATGTGTGGATTTTCGTGATGCACTGTTGAAGATATCGGGACTTCACGTTCTAGATCGATGAGATAAAGATGTGAATATCTTCAGAGACATGTTTTCTTGAAAAGATAAAAAAAAGATCGAAAATTACGGTAACATTTCTTATTTCGGGTTTTAAATTCGAGTGTGAACTACAACAGGAATAAAATACTCGATCGGAACCAACGGCATAGACGGAACAAACAATGCAGTGAGAATTTATGAATAGTATCTTCATTTCCCACGTGTATCGAATGAGATATGAAAGGGCTGAAAGCAATATCCTTTGCTGGTGAAAGCTGACATTGATTCGTGAAGTGGCGTTAGCACGTTGACAGGCTGATAAATTTCGGACCTCCGCATGTCGGAGAATAAGTGATCATTACGAAACTCTTGGGTGCAGATTATCAAACAGATAGAATGAAAGGGATGGTTGCTGTGTGAAAATGTTGTCGGCGCAAATGGTTCGGGTTGAAGATACTCACTCGACCGAAGTTTCTTTTGTTGAGATTCTGCACACCCACCGGGGACGTGATGAAACCTCGTGGGTGGAAAAATCCTTCCGGTTATTTCGTTACACCACAGGCGGAAAAATGGCGGAAATGGCATAATCAGCCGTGCAGATGATATGCATCAGGAGGCTTGCTATACTCTGATGCGATACGATACTTTTCATGCGATAAGATGTAAAACAGGCTTCGGCTTGTCGCGTTTACCTATTTATGGAGTATTTGATGAGTGGGTGCGGGATGAAGATATTTGATCCTGCATGCTTGGCTTTTGATATTTCTGCTTCGAATTGGATGTATGGAATGTATGTAAAGATGAGGATCGCCGCATGGTTCAAGCTCTCTTGCTGAAGCTCGAGATACACAACTTCTTGAGATATTTTGGCGTGGGTGTTGCCTTGCAGTATGATTGCAGAATATACGTTATAGGCTGACTCTATTCGGCTGAGAATCGAACCGGACTTTGATGAAAGATTGAGCTGAGTGGGAGGAGAAGGATAAATTGAAAGTCAAGATGCCTTTTCAACTTCCTCCACGTTCTAGGCTCGATCCTAAGAGACCCTTTTACCTCACCAGAACGAAAAGAATGCCACCATTTTCGACATTTTATATTTCCGAGGAGTCATTGGCGTTGGGAAACGAAACAGATGATACTGTCGATAGGAAAAATGTTAGAGAAAATGAGCCAGCGATTCCTACAGAATGGTCTCTCAGTGTATTACCTAGTGGCCGACGATATCCAGGGAGTACTATTAGGTCCTCGATTAGGGGTCGACGAGATCCCCAGTCTGATGAAGAATCTCTAACAGGAGCTAGCCGAAATCAATACAGGAATATAATCAAGTACCCATTGCCCGGTCCTTTGTCGCCGCACCTTGCAGAGAACAGGAAACTATGGATCAAGATGTTTGTGGTCTTTTGTGTGCTTTTGATCACTACGATAATGGGCACAATGTCTATATACTGGGGGGGTGACCATTCATTACAATACAACATACCCGTCTTAACCATCGCAGTCATCGATTTTGATCATTCGGAAATCGGCAATTATCTCCAGGACATGGCGACAGCGGCACGAGCCAAAGACTACGACCACTCGCTGGGGTTCGTGAACCAAGATGGAACTTCCACGTATGGAAACATGGATAATGTTCGCGCGTCCTTGCACGATCAGAAGTTCTGGGTGGGCATCGTAATAACGGAGAATGCTACGAATGCCATGAATCATGCGTATGAAATTGGGGACGAGTCGTACGATCCCAATAGCGCAATTCATGTTTTCTACGAGGAAGCTAGGAATGCACTCGTTATTGGAGGAGCGGTGTACCCGAAGTTACTCGATTTTTTAAACGAGTTCGTACTTGAGTTCTCGAAGCAGAAGCAGAACACTTTTCTGCAGGGAATAGATGGGTCGGATATGGACGCTCTGCAGAGACAAGTTCGAAATCCTGTTGCAGCAGGATTTACGGTGTTCAACATGGCACCGGCAATACCATCGGTTCGTTAACCTTTTACTTCAGACCTTTTTCTTGACTCTTGTTCAATACTAAAATGCTTGGATATAGACAGCCGAAGCCGCGACCGAGATTGGAACGATCTGTACGTATCTACCACAACTTTATTAATCCTGACAGCTAGTAGAAAGAGAAGTCTTACTAACTCGTCTAAAACCAGACCTCATTATCGTTTCTTTTCTCTCCGTTCTCATGTTCGACAAAGTCAGCGATACAATCATGGGAACAATTCCCATGAACATCTACTACGTCTATCGTTTAGCCGTCCTCCCTATCGTCTTTCTCTTCCTCTCCCTCTTCTATCTAACGCTCTCATGCATGTGGCACATACCATTCTCTCTTCACTTTGGACCAGCCGGCTATCCCCTCTACTGGATGCTCTCCTGGATCTCCATGATGGCCTTCGGTCTCACGATCGAAAACGTCAACAACATTCTCGGCATGCCTTTCACACCCGTTTTCTTCGTCTTCTGGGTCATCTCAAACGTGACTACCGGGTTCTATCCCACCGAGATGCTCAACGATTTTTACAAGTGGGGAATCGTGTGGCCCTTGAGACATGATATGATGGGTGCGCGCGCAATCATTTATGGGACGAAAAATACATTGAGACAGAATTTTGGGGTGCTGATTGGATGGGTGCTGATTAGTTTACTGTTGATGCCGGGGACGTTGTGGGTACAGATGAGGAAGAAAAGAGCGATACGAGAGGAGAAAAGTAAGGTGATCCTGGAGAAAGTTTGGGGGGCCCCAGGAAAGGAGAAGGGGGGGAGGTTGAAGTTGCCGAAGCTAAGTCCGCCGAAATGAAAGGATTGCGACGTGTTGTGATAAGATGAGATCAGATGAGATCAGATGAGATGAGCTATTTAGCGTTTAGAGAACTTTTGTTTTACATGCTTGCATATGTGCATGTTCAATTCGCAGGCGTGAGAAATGATCGGTGTGATATTGATATTGGGGAAAGGGTGCATGACAATTGTCAAAAAAAAAATGTGATTACAATTTCATTCGTACGTTGACATGAAGCAGAAATCAAAACTAGAAATTGAAAATCGATAGTGTTGTAATGCCCATCTTGAATCGAAAATTCTCTGGCAAATTTGAGGCAAAATCGTTTGTTCGCAAATCCTGCTTGCTTTATATCTTCTTCTTTTGGGCATTCGGACTAGTGGCTGCTATACATAGCATAGCCACCTCAAATCAGCCGCAACTCCTGTATCATAGCCAATCTGAGCATCGCACATCTGAATTTCGTTTTCAATCCCAAAGAAATCAGTAGCATACGTCTCTGCCAAGTCACCCTGCGCTCCCATTCCCCCTGGAATTGTCTGATCATTCGTAAGCACTGGCTGCGATGGTGACTGGAAATCAGTACTAGCTTCGCCTTCGCGAGACTCTCGGTTGAATGGCCCGATAGTCATTAACTTCTCAACGTATACATTGTTACTGTCATTTTGGGCTTTTAGCAGTTGTTGCCGATACAGATTGATCGCTGTGTCAAACCGAAGAAGGATATCATGGTATTGTTCGGCTTGGGGACTTAACCGGGCAAGCTTCTTAAGCACAGCACAAGCGTGATCGAAGGATCTATGAATATGAGTCGGGGCTTCGCCTTCTACGAGGAGGGAGAAACCGAGGACAAGTCCAGCGGAAAAAAGCCAAGCTTTAAGGATACACATATTGTCAAGCAGGACATTACCGAGGAATGCTTCGTACGATAGCTCTACCATCAGATGTGCAGATTGTACACAAGCATCCGAGAATTGAACAATCTTCTCCCTTTCACTAGGACTTATTGGCGGTACCTCGTTGGTTCTCTTGGACTTGCTAGAACTATTCCTCCGTAGTTGAAACATGACATGTGAGATGAGGAATTGTCGTGTTACCATCATGATTCCTACATAATAAGTGCATGAAACATGGATATTGCCAATCGTAGTCTCGCAATAGTCACCTTCAAATGCGGGATCGGGAACGCTGCGAAGTGCTGAAGGTAGGGCCTGACTCCATTCTCGCAGCATCTGAAGATAAGTATCGGCGGATTGCACATCGACGCGACTAGATTTGGCAAACTTATGTACGATGGTTTCGATGATAGATGAAGATTCGTAGGTAGCATAAAGAGCCAATGTTCGATGGTCCATATCTTCAGGGTTTGAGCTATCTATCTCGTATTCATCTCTCTCTATTGACGGTATACTACTAGGACGTGCAAGAATGGAGCTGCATAGCAAATCAAGAACACGAGAGCTCATCCATATGCGGCGCCTGCCGATACAGTTAGCGAATGCGAGATATTCCATAGAGTTGTAGATGCAAGCCTACCTAGCAGCACGCTCTTCGGGGGATACACGAGGATGTTGATATGGAACGTGCAACCCAAGAATAGTTGCAGATTTGGAGGCAATGCCGATGTACATAAAAGCTGTGTTTCTGCGGCATGCCCCGAGCATATACATTGCCATCAATAAAAACAACTTGACCATAGATAACGAAGGATTCTCCAGCATATCAAGAAAGGCCATTTGCTGGGCTTGAGCAAAATACTTTTTCGCAAGTTGAATCTCGGACACATCCTTGCCTCGAGATTGAGCCCCTATTGCTATCATCAGAAAAAGACAAGCGAGATCTTCTCGTTGTGAGCGGGAGCTCGGAGAAGAATTGGCAGCATCGGTTTTGATGGCCAGCAATTTAGATATATCATCTCGTGAAAAGAGATGAAGAATACCATTCGACTAAGCAAGGTGTAAAGTTAGTGTCTTGTACCTAGGTAGCTACGGGAAAGAACCAAACTTAGGGCCCTACCACTCTCATAAAGCAAGCAATTAGATTTTGCTTTTCTTCGAGATCTAAATCATCTTCAAAGGGGCTATTATTTCTAGAAATCTCGACTTCTAACATCACATTGCTCTCCCGGCGTTCAGTGAAAACGGAAGTTCCAATATATCGCTTAAGTGTAGTTTGAAGAAAGTGTAGAAACGAGATAGCAGCAATATTACCAATATAAACTATCGGATATGTCAGCTCTGGCTTATCCTTGCACCAAAGAATTCTGAAGAGAAGGAATCGCCGCCAACCTTGTTCGCCTTGGGAGCTCTGTAGCATTGTAGAACGCTGACATGGTGATGATTCACGAGTGCTAGCCCGCGTGCTTCGACTATTGGTGTTCTCGCCCGAGAGAAGTGGGTCCACCGATGGCTCAAGACGCTGGGAGGAAGCAGCATCAATAGTTTGCCGTGAAGACTGGACATTCCTCTCTTCGGGAGGGGGTTGCCCGGACCGAACTTGAGTCAAAGTTGGGGAATTCACACTTCTGGTAACGTGATCTAGTGAATGTCCCGATACTCTTTGCCGTCGGGGACTGGGAGAGGATAGGGGAGAAGATGGCGGATATCGGCATGAATCGGTACGGCCTTTTGTTACACATGACAAACAAGGGAGGTTTGCATCGCACCGCTTCTTTGAATTTTTGCAAGGAACGCAAGCTCTCGCCGCGCGGGCTCGTTTATCGGGATGTACTCTTGGGCGAGGCATTGCCGGCGGAACATTACCGCGTAATTTGTTCGGGGATCATGAGCGACTTCTCCACCGCTATAAGTCTCCGTCGCCTTGATTGAATTTGCTGCGAAAGTACGATATGGATGGATTGATACCAATCACCAAGCCAATAATTATGTGTCGGAGAGAATGTTATTGATGTGAAATCGGAAAGAATCTCTCTGTTTCGGAAGAGGGACTGTGTGGAAGGCCCTCAAAGTGGGGTACGGGTGTCGTTATTATGAATTGTAGATATTTAGCTTATCTTTCCCCGATTTTAAGCAGGTAATTTGATCAGAAGGTGGGGTTAGAGAATGTTATCAACAGAATATAGAACTAGCCGGGTACATCCCGCTGCGTGTCGGATTAACCGCTCTTTTCCTCTCGTGTCGGCAACGTCAAACATGACTATAGCGAGACAAAGATATTCATTGATAGGAGATCCTCGATAACTAGAGCGAATGTTCGGTCAATTATTGGGGCTCTTGAGCCCAATAGTCTATGATGATATCTATGTCTTATCTTAGAACGCCGATGGCACCGGGCCGCATGAAGACTTGACGATCTATTGTACTACTTGATATGCACCGTCTTGGCTATTGATCATATATATATCCGTTCACAATTCTCAACATACTTCTATCATTCAACTAAGTCACAGCTCAACTTACACATCCTTGATCTAACGTATTCATTAAACATATCGATCTAGTGAGCGGCCATTATCCACCAAATTTATATATTCTTGGTTAAGATTTTCACCAAGAAACAACCCTTTCGTTTTCTTTCCTACTCTAGAAAGCGAGATTAGAAGATTTAGTCTCACAACAAAATGCCCGCTCAATCTGGATTCAGGTCGTTGGATGTTGGTGTTGTAGGGGGTGGAATTGGAGGGTTGAGTACTGCTATTGCTTTGCGTCGTGCTGGACATCGAGTCACAATATACGAACGGGCTGATTACGCTGGAGAAGTTGGTGCTTCAGTATCTTGCGCTGCTAATGGCACAAAATGGTTACATGAGTGGGATGTCCCGGTTGAGAAGGGAGATCCTGTCATCTTGAAGAAGCTAATTCGACGTGATTGGAAAACTGGAGAGCCTGATTCTGTGTATGATCTCGATGATTATGAAGAGAAGTGGGGACATGTAAGTTCCTAATATCAATTAATGTTTCAAAAACCAGGAGCTGATGTGTTCTTGATAGGTTTACAACATGTTCCACAGGCAATATATGCATGCTATGCTTATGGATAGTGCTATAGCTGAACCAGAAAAGCCGGGAGTACCAGCCAAGTTACTCGTCAATCACAAGGTGAGTGCTAAGCATACTTGAGCATACAGAGCCCAAATTTGAACCTTTTTAATTGACTGTACTTTGTTAGTGCTCTGGACTTGACGTCGAGACTGGAACTATCACATTTGAAAATGGAAATACTGCAGTACATGACGTTGTCATTGGAGCTGACGGTATTGGATCCGCGATTCGTTCCCTCATTGGCATCAAAGTTGAGAGGAGAGCGGCCGATGCCAGTTGTCTCCACGCCAATGTAGACACCGAAGAAGCAGTCAAGCTTGGCTTGGTTGATTACTCGCAGAATAGTGCCCTCGAATACTGGGGAGGTCTAAATACTCATTACAAGATTGTTCTTTCGCCTTGTAATGGCGGTAAACTACTATCTTATTACTGTTTCTTTCCAAGAGAAAAGGGCGATTATTCCAACCAGGCATGGGGTGCGAAAGGAACAGTTGAAGAACTTCTTGCTCCTTTCCCAGATCTGGATCCCCAGGTTTACAAACACTTGTCAATCGGAAAGGATGTTGCTCCCTGGAGATTGTGGATTCACGAACCCTATCCATACTGGCAAAAAGGCAATGCTTGCGTCATAGGAGATGCAGCTCACCCTGTAAGTTGTGACCCAGCTGGCATTAAGCACTTTTGAAACTGATTTGGAATGCAGATGATGCCAGATCAAAGTCAAGGAGCATGTATGGCCATCGAAGATGCAGCAGCTCTTGGCATTGTTTTCAGCGAAAAACATTTCAACGGCGATGTGCAAGAGGCCTTGAGAGTTTATGAGCAAGTCAGAAAGCCCCGTGCAACCCGGGTACAAGCCGCTGCTGCAAAGGCACGAGAGAACATCAATGAACGTATTGGTGAGATTACCCAACTTTCGATGCATTTCTATATCCGTGACAACAGCTAATCTGAATACAAATCTTAGGTTTCTCTAGTAACACCAACTCAGCAGTATACAAAGTTTCTGACGAGAAGGCAAAATTGACGATTGAAGAAATGAATGCGTAAGTCAAATATTCCCTTTAATCAGACGAACCTCCATTGACAATCAAGCAGATATGACATGCACGATGATGTCCTGAAGAATTATGCGCAAGTTAGAGGAGAGGTTTCTTGAATGAAGAAATTTTAATTATCGGAATCTTTTGGCAGGGGAAAAATCAATAAAAGGCTCCCACAGTGTTCTTCATTTTTTGCATAGGCACAGTTTGGCATTGGAGTTTCGGTGTTCGGGCTAGTGAATGTGTTATAATCGATCTTAAAATTTTATTTGATCACCTCCACATAAGAATTGTTTTAAATTACCTAGATAGCCAGCTGTGAAATATAGAGTTATTGGCTGTGTAATGTTGTTGTATTGTGCAATCGAATCTTCGCGAGCCCGGTTCTAATGTAAGAGGATGTATCCTCGCAAGAGTGACATAGAATCTTAAGTCCCTATCTAAATAATTGACAACAGGACGATAATGTTGAAAAAAGTCTTATGAATACCTACAATATGTATCAATTTGAAGGAAAATGAGTGTCTCGGTATTGGGGATCATCATCAAACTCGGAATGATTAGATATTATCCCTTGGAAGGCCTCGTCAAAACTCGCTTCTTCGATGAGAGAGTGCCATATGTTCTATGATAGGTATGTTAGCATTATTTCGATAGAAAAAGACGGATGAGAAAAGAGCAACAAACCCAATCAATATCCAACTCATTCGGGTTCTCAAACATCCCTTCTTGGAGAAACAACCCGTCATTCAAATGCTGAGTTGGCTCAGATGATATCGATTCCATTTCTACAACAGAGGCGTCAATTTCCAGCTGAGCGAGACTAATCTCTTCTGACGGCTTGAAGTTCAGGAGCATATTGGTCAGAACCCGATATACCCTCCAAGCTTCGTCGGAAGTATTTCGAACATCTTTCCATATTTTCCACGGTTTTCCTAGTGCAGCTAGGTGTAAGTCGGATCCATGACCCAGTGTTCTATTCGCGTTTATGTCTTTTCGTTTGTGCTCCAGATCAAGGAAAAGCATCATAGAGACAAGAGTAAAAAAATTGCCTAGCCTGCGCGACCTCGTACCAACGTGGTACATAGCTTGGGATCTCTGATTTGGTTCGTTGAGAATCATGAAAGATATGCTGTTGCGATAGAATCGCTAATGATGACGAAATACATCTATCTCGAGAGATTTTGTACTTATCATTGATTCGAGCCCTAATAAGGCCGTTAACCCTCTACTAACTAACATCCTTCGATGACCCGAAAACATTTGATAGACAAGAGCATTACCATACCTCCAAGCTTCTGGCACACATATTTCTCTGGAACCTTGTCGACTATGTGTCAGCCAAGGATATCATAGTCAACCTTGCAGATCCAGCTTGGTGCCGGAGAACAGGACTAGGACGAGATTTTGAGCGGGCAATGAAGGTATTCATAAAGCTCTTCGGTCTTCTTGGTAGAACACCCAAGGTTGGCGCGTCATGTTTCGTCGATCCAGTAGTGAACAATGACGAAGATTCTCATGGTTGTTTTCTTATGAGTTGGCAGATCCATCCGTAAGTTAAATCTACTTACTCTATTAACTGCGATCATTCACTAAAGTATCACGCAGCTTCGCCACGCTTCTGTACACACCCGGAGGGTAAGAAGCTGACGCAACGTGTTTGGGAAGAGACGCTAGGTGAACTCTAGTTCGCTGGAGTGCGTGATATTCTTGAATCTATGAAAAGATGATGAAGGATTTGGGGGCATGTCTTACTATCCACCACTTTGCTGAATAGAGAGAGAGATAAGGCCACCTATGTATGTCGCGACGCTAGATTGGTTTGCATTAGATCTCATTTATGCATATATTCAATATTTTTCGAATGTTAAAAACAAGAATAACATCTCAAACCCCTTACCGTATTGATCATTACAATTGGCAAACAGAATTGACACGCGACTACGCGATCCATCAACTAAACTGCTCAGTGAGCCAAAGATTCACGTCTGATTCTAGCCCACACTTCTTCAAAAATGTTCAGTTGCTTTTATTCCCATATAATAATTCCCAACATTTGTATATAAAATGTTTGGTCGAGATTCGACCGTCTGAGGCCAGAATCAACTTATTTATTCTCATCCTCTTTCCCAACGTCCTCAATTCTTTATTTCTTCATTCTGATCTTTGAACCCATCAAGTTTGAACAAATTTTTGGCATTATCCCTTCCAATGTCCATATTAACCTTCGGACTCAAGTCCAATCCGTCAAACCAAGTACACGCATCCTCATAACACTCGAACGGATAATCTGTCGAAAACATGATGTGATCCGACCCTAATTCTTCAATACAATATTTCAGTGTCGACGTCGAAAAATGTCCACTGGTAGTAATCCAGATATTCTCGCGGAAGTAATCATAAATGCTCTTCTTAATAGGCATTCCCAATGGTTTCTTGATATCCTCAAACCAATGATTTATACGCCACAAATCAAAAGGAATATGTTCTCCCAAATGTCCAACGATAACCTTCAATTTAGGATTTCGATCAAAGACCCCATTGACTACCATTCCCATCAAATGTAACGAAACATTGTTCGCAAAACTCAATGGGGGTCCAATCAACCACTTACGATCCGCCCATAACGTATCAAACACCTTTCCCGTGGGCTGTTTAGGGTGCAAATAAAAGGGAACATCCAGATCTACACACTCTTGCCAGAAAACATCCCATTCCGGTTGATCATAGAAAATAATCGATTCTCCATCACTAGCGATCTGGTTATCATTCACCAGCGCTCCTTTGAAACCATACTCGGTTACGCATCTCCTTAACTCTTTCGCAGCCACAGCGGGGTCATGCATGGGTAATGCGGCAAAAGATCCATAACGATCCGGATAATCCTTAATCTGCTCATGGATGTAATCATTGGTAAGAGCAGCAACACGGAGAGCTTCAGCTGGATCGACAATATCTTGAATTCCGGGTGCGGTATAACTGAGAATATGGAAGCCGACACCATGTTTGTCGGCGTATTCGAGACGTATATTTTTCACATCACTGATTTCTCGGACGTGTTTGTCTGCGTCTACAGCGAAGAGACCTGCCCACCATTTAGCCTTTTCTGCGAATTCTGGGAGGTTGAAATGGTCTTCGATGGTGATCTTCCCCAACATGTTGAGAGTGATTTTGCAATTGTTGTTGCTTTGAAAGCAATGCGGTAGGCCTAGGAAGAATTATAAAAAGAAGTAATTAGATGATTTGAGAACTAGAGAATTTTTGTGTTCAGATTGATGTAACATATAAGAATCTATCAATTCCAATAATCTGGGGTAAATTTATAGTCCCGCCAGCGGAAAGGAGCACTTGACTCCGGCCCGCCTCCTTTTCCCCGCAACGTGGGGAAGAACAAAGTCAATAATCTTACCCGCTGTTGAATAATAAACTCAGCTAACTCAGCCATACCACTACGGCTGTCGGCACATTTTTGAAACGCATCCAATGGCTCGTACGGTTTTGTATCTCGTGTCTGATACGAACAAGACATCGTCATCGCTTACTCGTGGTCGATGTGTGTGAGCGGCCCGCGGTGTAGCGGATAGGGTAAGGGAATACCAAGTGAAGTGGACATGGACGTGCAAAGAAGAATGAATCATGAATGAAGCTATTCCACTTTTCTAATGATTCATCACAGATTACGCATGACCCGTATCATCGGCTATATTGACAAAATCTTTCATTGTTGCACATCTGAATTGACTCGTTTTTTTTCTCGCTCAGGTGCTTCAAGAGCCTAGATCTCCCCCTTGCAATTTGTTGCATATCTAAACAATGAATCGTAAGACGGAAGTGGGGATTTAATATATTTTAATCGTTTGAAAGTAATATGTTGCAAGTCTTAAAATTTTGAGTTTGACTCGCAAAATAGAAAGATTTGAGGCTTGTGGATGGAATTTGAGGTGAGCTGAAGCATCGTAAGAGGACCTGTTTGTCATACTAAATCGTCTCACGATTTTCTTCCATCCCTTTGCTATGGACGCATAATTTTCTTTAAATTTCTTTAATAGCGTTATTCTGGCCAGCAAACAAGGTATAAAATAATATCAAAGCCATATCAATTTAATTCCCACCTACAACAATATCAGGATGTAGCGTTTTCGTTCCGTAAACAGGCTTTTTAGTGATATCGTGCGGCATAGCCACAACCTCATCGCCCACAATAATTTTGAGAGTAGGTAATGAAGTTGCATGTAATGGTGTATTGTCAAGCTGAAAATCTATCAGCGCAGTGTTCTAATTTCTCGACACCAAAAGGAAATATTCAAAGAGAAAACTCACCAGCTGTGCTCTCCACCTCAAGTTCTTTTTCAAGAATTCTTCAGTCCCTTCGCCATTCCCATCGACATCTTGCCCTTTGTAACTACCTCCAATAGCAGGCTCCCTCAAAATAACAATCTCATCATAGGCCAATGCTTTCGTCGCATCATTAGAAACAGCACCCGGCGGAGGCAAAATCACTAGACTTCCTACCAAACTTTCACTTCTCCCCCACTCCTCTGGACTCTCTGGTATCTTGCCTAGAAAAAGTCGAATAATAAACCGCTGGCCTTGAAGATCCAATTTAGAGACACTGAGTGCTGCGGTCCATTCTCGTAGTGTTTTGTTCGTGCTTGGTCCTTCGTGTTGTTTTTCTGAGAAAAGTTCTCGACTATCAAAATTCCGCTTCTTAATCTTGGAATTGCTTCCATCTGAATTGTATAATTCATTTACTCTTCCTGTTACATAACTAGTCATTTTCTCGGCTGTCATATTCCAATCCATAATTTCTGGATAACTATACCCAAGTTGCGACATCGATCTGCAAGTATTTGATGTGAAAAAGGTGGAACTGGTGATAGCAAAGGGCTTCAGAGGAGAAGAGGCAGTATCAATGGTCCCAGAGGTGATAGTGTACGTGCCATACCAGTCGATTAAGCCGGTAATGAATGTAGAAGGATTAATGGCTTGATACATGGAGAGAACTCGGTCGACGTTTGCGTGGTGGAGCCAGCTATCCAGGTCAGCCGCTGTGTATGTTTATAATAGATAGGGAATGTTAACAGAAACAAAAGGAAAATATGGGCTTTTACAATATAGGATCAAATCCAGAATAGCTCAGAAAGGACATATGTCCATAAGCACCTCCCACAAGAACATGTACCGCGCCGTGCGGTGACTCTATACTCGCCCCCGAGACTGCCATCGTAGCAAAGCTATTGAAATTACTTGATTTCATGATTGCTGTCCACTGTCGCCGCCCTCATCAGCATTCTGACATTTCTTTATTATTCTTGATTCTATTCCACCATACATTTCATGGAATTAAGCCCAAGACGATGATACCAAATAGAAAACTCACCACTTGATCTCCCAACCCTGCATTTTGCAAGTTCGTGTTTGCAGCATTGAAATCACTTTGTCCATTACCTAGGTTATCTGGATTTCTCACCGTCCAATTGTACTGTGCCATATAACCGTCACTGTCCCCAGGAGGAAATTGTTGCTGATTGAGCGGTTTATTCCGAAAGTTATAACGGAAGAGTGGATTGTTCACATAGGCAGTAGCCCCAGAGGGGAGAACGATAGAGATAGTGGCGACGTTGGTGATACTAGGCATGCTAGGGCTAGCACCCCAGTCCCAAAAAGGGATACGGAGGTTATCAGCGGCAGCTTGGTAGGCGGGATAAAGCGTAGATATATAGCTTTTTGCTATCGTTTGGGCATAGCTGGCGAGAACTTGCTACAGTTAGAGATGGAGCGTGAGTAATTTGCTTTTAGCTTGAGATTGCAGGGAATTTTACCTCAAAGAGTGCCAGGTAAGGACGATGCCATGTAGTGAACAATACCGAATCTATATTGCACGTTAACACTTAGTCTCACATCCAGAGCTGGTTCGTCTGACCATGTGTACAATACCCAGTGGTTGGAGCCGCGATAGCTTGATTTACACCATCCCAAGCAACATACGGTCGACCGTGAATACCTACAGAAAATCTCAGTCAATACTGAAGGTGATTGTGCATGCTTAGTGTTCCGAGCCAATCGAGTTCATATGAACATTGTTCGAGATTACCCACCTGCCAGTTGAAAGTAGGAGAGTCCATCAGTATATTCGTTTGCAGCTTGCATGGCAAGAAGAGCTTGAATATATAGCGACCTTTATACGTAGAGATTAACAACTGAATGGTAAAATGATGTGTATTTAAGACATCTATTGTAAGGAAGCTTACCATTGTTGAATGTTATTCTGCAAATCGTCGATATTTTGTCTGAAAGGTCGAGCCTTTGTATTCGAGTTGATACCAGTTGTCACCCCAGTTATGGGATAATACTGAGCATTGCCATAAGTGATAAAGATAGAGCATGCAAGCAATCCCCAAGGGAAATACGGGTATTTGATTATCATAATAGCTCTTCTGAGGCTGTGCGGTGAAATTTTTGGAGTAAAAACAGTAACATAAAATCAAGGAAAAGTATACGTGCCTACAAAACCATTCATATATGAAGTTCCAAGCAGAGCAAACAGCAAACTACAAAATACAAAATAAACCAAAATTACAGCCTCGGTCGTAAGGATGAAAGTTGACCACACAGGTGTCGCAAAAGATTGCATGCATATCCATAAATGCAGTGGATGTTGGAACATGCCATACCCACGAGTTAGATCTCTCTCCGAGTAACACAAATTCATGAAATACAACAATAGATACGACATTGCATAGCTAGTTCAAGAAAGACAGTCTCTAATAGTACAAGAATCTCGGGATTGCCTTTGTCACACGAGAATGATTCAAAATGACGACTTCGTAATTTATTTGTGACAGAAACGCCAACCTCTTCAACGGCGATGCGAGCGTTCAGTGCTAAAGTATAAAGAAGGGTGCGTTCGGGTTATCCAGGAATTTATTGATGTGTACCATGCAAGAATCTCCAATCACGTATGGATTGACAAACATCTACTATGAACTCGACCGATCTCCCGATGCGGTCATCTAAGATCTCAGTGTGTTGCGGGAACGTTACATTTGCAACGAATGCCTTTTCAGACAACTTTGAAAAATGTGTGCAAGAACAGGTCGACTCAATAATACCTTGGTAGGTGCTATGTATTTGAAAAATTGCCCAGGTCATGAGCTAAGAGAACGCGTAATCTCAAACGAATCACGAATCTTGAAAAAATTCAACGACTGCAGGCCGACCACCCTTATATGCTAGTTGCCGTCAATAGAGGCTGTGGTACGTGGACACGACATTGCAGAACCACAGACCGATGAATATCCATTCTCAGCTCTCTTCCAATCGCACATGAATCATTCCAAATTTATGAAGCTTTGCAAATGGAAAAGATATCTTCCGAGCACTTAGACTTCCAGAATTTGTCCTTTCTGTTTCCAACGTCGATTGACAGCATAATAAAAGATACCAAAAGAGAGCTTCTTAAAGTCAGAGCCAGTATCTTGTACTTACAATATTCGCACATCTAGAACATTGATGCCCACTGCTTTGTTATTTTGTCATTCATCACAAGATCATGTGCAATGATTTTCGGATCAAGGAAAATCATACACATCGCAACACCATATCAAACCATGGAAGGATTTTAAACTTCTCGCACAACCATTTTTTCCTTTCCTTATGCTGGTCCACAGTTAAGAGAAAAACGAATATACGTTACCATAGGTCTGATTGAAGCTCGCTCCCATTATCAAAAACAGAGCCTGTGAAAGCGAAGCCTATTGCACCGATTCTTATGAATACACCATAAATGACACTGCTAATCCTCCTATAGTACACCTACCGTCTATGCTGAATTGTCAAAGTACAGTTACAATTCCACTCTGTGTGGCACACACGATATACATATTGAAATTTCAACACGAAGCATCGTATCCATAGCAGCTATTTCTATACATAATCTGCACAGATAATTTGTGGCGGCTGCAGCTGCACCATTTTTGCTGATCATATCAACTGCTGTCAAGAACAATGAAAACGATGATATCATTGGAAAGAGTTCAGCGGCCCGAATATAAACCATCAGTCCAGAAGACCACCAGAATTTTGGTTTCCGTGCTTTGACCATGGTAGTATATTCTCCCGACTGACGTCTGTGAGACTGACCTGAGTAGCATTTGCTCGTAACACGCTGGTAAAATACGTGTTTTGGAAACCGGAGATCGATAGAGTGCATAGCTGTGCTTGATCGTGAAGTGTGATGGACCGTAAGCTCCTTGATGGGAATAAAATGGCAGAAGATGTCTATTCGAGCATTACCAGGAAAAACCACTGTGACTCAGTCGGTACAGTGAGAATAAGAGCTTGATACTTGAGACCTACAAGATCAAGTTACTAGACCTGTATAGTCCAGAAAGCCCTATCGACATCAATGATTGTTTGTGCTTGAATTACTCAAAGTATGGCCGTTTCTGGAAGAGTCGAAGGAAAAGAATCATCGCACAACGGCGGATTAAAGCACTTGCTTGGAGTGAGTAGTAAAGAATAACTACCTACATGACTTCATGTATAATAATATTATTTGATATCATTTGATGGTTGCCACGATTGTATATGTATCTATTTAGTGGAAGTCACTCGGACTCAAAATGTGGGGTACACACTACAGGCGCGAAAATTAACCAGTTCAAGCTCAAGAACAAAAACGACAAAAACACCAAGGACACATGAAATCAAGCAACTCCCAAACAATCGAAGTTCAATGATGGCAATGAAGCTGGAAAATACAGTATTTCACTGTGATAATTATATCTTTTCTGCTTATGAAGCGTAAATGATTCTTTCAACCATGAACAGGTGTGTTGAGAGAATCGTCGACGAAAAACAAGAAGGTCAATTCAGGACACTCCACGAGCAATTGCTCGGAGTACACCGAATATCAAAGATACCTTGTACCCGCTTGCTATACGTGACATTATCATCACCTTATCGAGGACTAAACATATCAGGTTCTCACGCCTCATAAAGCCTGCCGGCCCAAGTGGGTGTGTAGTGTTCATGATCAAGAAGGTCCGATGGAGTTAAGGAAGTGAATTGCGACTTGTGTTAGTCAGTCAGTCATGCTTTTACTCCTTGGATTTTAATCATTACGACAGAGGCTAATTTTGAGTTTGAACTGTTTCTCGTATGAAATGCGGATAGTCTGAAGTATAGACTTTTAATATTCCCTAAAGTTCTACAAGTGTTCACGTCCTCGCTGACATATGGGCATGAGTCACGTGGCCAGACACAAGTCCAAATTTGCTTGCATTTGGGGGGGGGGAGGCGGGGTGACAGCGCAACGCCTTACTGAACTGCTTTGGAAGCGATTTTCCTCAATTCCTATGACATGTACGAAAATCTCGGGCCCATTATGACGTTCAACTGTCATGAGGTTGTAGCACAGATTTCTAACGCTTCGGCTTTCAGCCACATCACCAGCCACATTCATAACTTTCAAACTTTACCTACCTAGTAGCCAATGAGAGCCCCGTTCATTGCACATGTCCATTTCACAAATCATATGAATTTCCTTTCAATCTACGATTTGAATTCTAGGCATTAGATAAAGCCATCATACTCTGTAGTCACAGCCTCCAACGACTTAATGGTAGAATGGAGTGAGGCTCTCCAATAAGATCGCTAAGAACTCCCACGTGTAGTGCTTCTTAGGCTCTCGCTACTCCTATACCAAGATCTTGACTTCTTGGGATTTCTTGGAATCAATCCCATCTTGTCCGTATCACAATGTTGGATCGATAAATCCCAACATGAGAAGTCTGGAAAGTCCACAACAATACTGATCATTGTTAATACCAAGAAGAATAGAAGATTTCCAAGAGACCAAAGTCGTTACGTTCTTTGGAAGACTTTCTTGGGACGCGGCATATCGGATATCAGTTCTAGATTTTTGAAGACAAGAATATATAATCGTAGACTCCCGTAGCTATGGCTGCTTTCACAATCATAATCAAACCAAACCTTCGTCTGTGTGACCTTGAAATCTGGAATCAAAATGGCAGTCCTCGAACAATTTGATTACATTTTTGCCATTGGCATGATCTTTGCTTTCCTCGATGCTTGGAACATCGGTGCCGTAATCCTCTTTCCAGCCCTCCTAGACCCATTGCTGATACCGAAAACAGGTGCAAATGATGTTGCGAACTCCTTTGCTACTTCCGTCTCTTCCAGGTCGTTGACGATGAAGCAAGCTATGATGATAGCCACTGTAATGGAATTTGGTGGTGCCGTTGGTGTTGGGTAAGTTTGTCTTGATATCTTGTTATGTCAACCCTTTTGATACTAATAAATCTCCAGTGCTCGTGTTGCAGACACTATCCGAGGCAAAATTCTTTCAACCAAGGCTTTCGAGGCAGAACCGTCTGTCTTGATGTTGGGAATGACATGTGCTCTAGTATCTTCTTCTCTTTATTTAACACTAGCCACAAGGCTAGGTCTTCCCGTTTCAACTACGTAAGTATGATCCTTATACAAGTTATCAATCATCTTACTAAGTAAGCCCATAGTCATAGCATAATTGGAGGGGTGATAGGAGTAGGTATTGCAGCGATAGGAGGAGATGGGGTCAACTGGGGCTGGAATGGAGTATCACAAGTATTCGCAGCCTGGGTCATCGCACCAGGAATCGCTGGTGCTTTTGCAGCTATTCTCTTCCTGGTCACAAAGTACGGTGTTATGAAACGAAAGGATCCAGTGCGCGCTGCACTTATTAGTATTCCATTCTATTTTGGACTTACCACGGGCTTGTTAACCAGTATGTCCCACTATACAAATTCCTTTCACAACGGAGACCCGTGTAAACCCAACTAACTCTTTGTCAAACAGTGCTTATCGTCTGGAAAGGCGCTGCTTCCGCATCAGCAGCCGTCAAAACATGGGGACCCGGCGAATACGTCGGTGTAATTGTCGGTACCGCCATCGGTTGTGCTCTTCTATCTGCTGTTTTCCTCCTCCCATTTTTGTACCGAAAACTAGTGCTCAACGATTGGCAACTCTACTGGTGGCATATTCCTCAGGGCCCATTGCTGCTTCGACGCGGAGAAGTTCCTCCTAACACCTCTGGACGCGAGGTCATCCAGAATTATTACAAAGGACACAAGACGCGCGCAGAGCTTGATGCCGAAGGCTCGGACAATGTGAGGAATCTACATAGTGATGACGTTGAATCAAAAAGAAACGAGGATGCAGATGAAAAGCATGGGATTTCATTTGTCTCGCCTGCCTCTTCGAATATCGGGTCTTCAACAAGGGATGAGACAACAGCAACTCCTGTCATCACAAATGAAGAGCCCATACCGGCAAAACCTTGGTATGAATCTAAAACACTCTTAGCCACAGCAAAACGTGTCTTCTTCCACGGTGTTTCCGTCGATGTCGTTGCCGAACAGAAGAAATCCTCTATCCTTACTGGCAATCTCGAAGCTATGCACGCCCGTGCAACCCACTACGATAACAAGGCTGAGCATACCTATTCGTTCTTACAAGTACTGACTGCCGCCACTGCATCCTTTGCTCACGGAGCTAATGATGTCTCAAACGCCGTTGGACCTCTTGCTGCTATCTATTTCATCTGGCACACCGGCTCCATCCAATCTAAATCACCTGTGCCGGTATGGATTCTATGTTATGGAGCCGGTGCCCTCGTCATCGGTCTTTGGACATACGGATACAACATCATGCGCAATCTCGGCAACCGATTAACACTGCATTCCCCCTCTCGAGGATTCTGCATGGAGCTCGGTTCTGCTATAACTGTTATTATGGCCACCCGACTTGCATTGCCCGTGTCTACTACCCAATGTATCGTTGGAGCTACGGTTGGAGTCGGACTTGTGAATGGGGATGTGAAGAGTATTAATTGGCGAATGGTGGGATGGATTTATATGGGATGGATCATTACGTTGCCGGTTACGGGTATCATTTCGGGGTGTTTGATGGGTCTCATTCTGAATGCTCCAAGATGGGGAATGGGCGTTTGAGAATTCGATAAAGGAGATGAATTTTTAGTGCCAATAGGTCGAAGGAGCTTCATGGCTTGGATGCTTTGCGATCGAGAAGGATTTAATTGCAGGACAGTACAACGCTACTATTTCACTAAAATCAGAGAGTCTATAAATGTAACATTAGGGGACAGAAGACACACTGTTCGTTTCATTTCCTTCAAAGCTTTTTGACACAATCTTTATCTAAACTTTTCTTTCCCGCCTTATGCTTCTCTAGTACCCACTTTGCCTCTTCCTCATCGCCATTACACAAGAATCATGATACAAGCGTCTCGTTTTACTCCCCTTTCCAGACGTTGAATCGACACGCACCCGACAATATCCGCCCCCTTATAATTTTTCTCTTAGCCAACAAAAAGGAATGCCAATTTGCCTGCCTCTTCCATTTACTTTTCCGAAATTCGACCATCAATTCCTTCCCCCCTTAGTTACTCGGGGACCTTTTCTGTGTTCTCCCTGAGTAACGTAACAATTCATTTCCCTCATCTGAGATAATCACTGCATTTGCCCACTTCTTCACTCCGGCGATTGCACTCAAGCTGGTTTAATCAATACACCCAAAGTTTCACGAACAAAAAAATAGTACGAATATGTCACCATATGTCACCGCGAATAATAGACTCCACCAACACTATCACAATAGGGAAACCATGTAGTACGCTTTATGTATGCCATTAATCTAGTATCTAAGTACTGTCCGGGCGAAGGTACCCATTCCTATGATGAAGTGCCCTCCCATCGGCCGACGAGAAAACAACTTATCAGCTCAGCTAAAATTGAAAGGAACCAAAAGCCAATGATAAGCACCAGCAAGAGTCCCGCTCGCTCATCAAACTTCATAATTTTTATGAAGAACGCAAAACTCCAATCCAGATGCTATGCATGCAAAGAGGTATTTGAACTTGATGAATGAATGAGACAAGAAAAAATACAGCAATCAAAATTTATTCATGATCGAGAATGAATAACGTTGTGCATGTATTGCACAACGAATGCCATCGACCCCAAACTCCCCAATATATCAATTGATACTCCTAAGAACTCCTGATTCCCACCAGCGATATTACTATTTATGATATTGCCGTAAACGTGCAGCTAGTGCTGAACTCTGAAATTCATCTTGATCTGAAAAACGCCAAAGACCCAATCATTCAACCATAACTCCATTAACTTCGGCATCAAAAATTACTTCCTGCGGATTGCGAGGATCATACCATGCAACTCGTCTCTCATCTCCGCGACGCCCCCCAACTGTAGTCCAAACATGCTTGAGCTTTTTATCGTCGTAAATTTCACGATGCCCCATCCATCGTAAACGTGTCTTGGGTTCCATATCGCTGATTCCAAGACCACCGTTTTGTACCCACTCTTTGACTGCACATCTGATAAATTCAACTTTTCTCCTAAAGTCATTTGCTTGGGGGAGACCTTGAATCATCGGATCAATCTCGGGACGTTTGCGTGAAGTGGGCTTCACTGCCCTCGACGGCTTAGCCATGAAGTTTAGAAGTGTTTGCAGAGGATAGGAGAGATGTTGTCGCTCATCAAGGGCAGTCGTCGGAAGTGTTCCATTTTCCGTGAGCTCTCGTGCACACTCGAAAGAAAGATGATAGAAATCACACCAGAATCCATCCGCTGAAAGGACGACTTTAGTATGATCGGGAAAGTTGAACTGAAAATGGCCGTCACTGAATCCCCAGCAGCCGACATCTCCCCATCGCTGATAAAACGTGATAACTGTACTGTTGACAGTAACCTCGGGATTCTGACCGGCTGTCCATGATTCATAAGGATACTCGGCATCTCTGCCATAAGCAAACATATAATTGCCAAATTTCTTCCATAGACAAATCTTTTCTCGTTTGCGATTATCAAATGAATCTACACCTAGAGGAAGTCTGCCGGGTCGGCCCTCTGGACTTTCAGCAACTCTGTAAGTCTTGGCAGGGACCGATCCACGAATCATTCCCTTCTCGCCCTTGCTTTCATAAAATTCTACATTGGGACCAGAAATTGGTATAATCTGATGCCTGTGTGCGTACAATTTGTTGGTTCGATTCGCGAGATGCCTCTCTCCGTCGCGAATAACAATGCAAGAAGGTGCGATGACGTTGTCCTCACTTTCTGGAGAACCAGCCGGTGTTTCCCTAAAGACACAACCCACACTTCCATTACTGAGAATATATCCAAGCCCATATTTGTTGGTATAGTCTACCCACTTCACAACTATAGCAGGGGTTGTGGGTCTAGATTTCGGAGTGGCTGCAATGGATCTACTGTTTAAAGCTCGGTCTAGCTCAACCTGGAGACGTTGTAGGCCTTCAAGAATGTGGTCTGGTTTGCTGCCTGGCAACCACTCCAATTTTTCTTGGGGTGAAAATAGCGAAACGACCTTCTTAGAAGACTGTTTTTTCTTCAATTCCTGCGATTTTCGTTCCTCGTCCGCCTTTTGCAACTCGTCCACCAAATCGGCTGCAAGGCGCCCCTCAGCTTCGGAAGAGATTTGTGGAACAGATGGAATAGTTTTTGTCTTAAGAATACTACGGGGAGGTTTAATCTCGGTTGTTGCGTTGCTGGCCGGCTCTCTAGTATTGATTTCTCTTTGGATCGGTCGTCGAGGAAGTGCGCCTCTGATTGAAACAGTACTCAATGGCTGATCCTTGATGCGCTGCTGTGCCGCAAAGCTTTGACTAGCAACTCTTTGAGAGACGGTTCTTTGTGAGATAGGCTTTTTGGCCAACGGTGCAAGACTCGACTCTGCGATATCCGAAGCGAGCGAATCCACAACTGTACTAGATGCCTCCATCTCAATGGCAGCTTTCTCTTCAACACTTTGCTGGTTTTGCTCTCTGACATATTCGGAATAAGGACGGTAGACAATGCCCTCAGCGAGTGGCACATTAGGCGTAAGGCCGGCTTTCTCTTCTAAAGCACATTCTTTGTAAAGACTTGTGTACTGCTTTTTTGGAGTCCAAGGACCAACTTCACATTTGATACATAACTTCTTAAGGCTTCGAGCGTATGGATTCGGCTTGCCAGGTTTGACAACGACTGAAGGGAATTGATCGGGCCTTGGAGGATCCTCTAGTAAATCGGCAGTCATCTCTTCAACCTGGGGCATCCAGCCGCAAGTGAAAAATGGATGTTGCACAATGATATCTGGATGTGGACGCTGTTCTGCATCCTGTAACATGGTGGATACCAAATCTTGAATTTCTGGTGAGATCATATTGGCACTGACGAAATGTTGTGGCCAGGTGTATTCTCTTTCCTTTGCACGTCGATAAATTTCATCGGCTGTAGCGGACTGAAATGGTGGTTTCCCGGTAAGCATGGCAAAACTGAAGCATGTTAGGTCAGGTATGGAGACTTTTATAGAACCACGAAATGCCCACTCACATAATGATACCCAAACTCCATATGTCAACTGCATGATCGTGCCCACCATTGTTTTTGGATAGAATTTCGGGCGCAATGTAATTTGGGGTTCCACATAGAGTTGTCCTTCTGCATGCTGCCATATCCTTATTTGACATGAGCAATGCTGCGAGTCCGAAATCACCAATCTTAACATTCATATCCTTGTCCAAAAAGATGTTTCCCATCTTCAGATCGCGGTGTATTATACCTCTTGCATGCATATATTTGATAGCTCCAGCAATCTGGACAGTGTAGAAACGAACTTCCGGCTCTGTAAGATACTTTCTTTTTTTGACCATGTCCATTAACGAACCATTAGGACAGAGTTCCATAGCTATGTAAGTGCATTGATCGTGTGAAAACGCTCGGTAGAATCGAACAATATTTGGATGATTCATCTTTGAATGGATCTGAAGCTCGGTTTGAAACTATCACACGGGTTTAGTTCATGACATAACTGTTAGCAAGGGCCATTGGGCTGACCTTTTGCTCCATCTTCTTTTGTGACATGTGGCTTTTGACAATCTTCAAAGCGTACTTCTTCCTTGTCCCTTTAAGTTGACCTTCGTAACAAATGGCAAATCCACCCTTTCCAAGACAACGGCCGGTCTTGTATATAGATCCATCTTTTCGATCCGAACATGGTGGTTCTGGTACCTCACTAGGTGGTGGTGGAGGGTGATCCTTTTCTCTTGCTAGCTTGGTTGGGGGAGCTGTTTTCTGCACCGCTGTTTTCGTACGAATATTCGTGTTGACATCTCTGGGTGATAACGCGTCCATTTCTTCGTTACAGGGAAATTCTTGTTCCCAGATGCGGTAACGGTGAATGTTTTTGAAAGCTGTTTTCGTGAACTGCTCGTAGGTTTGTCCGTTGAACTTTTCGTCAACCTTCAAGCGCCTGTATTCGAGATCTAGTTGTATCACTTCATGAAACCTTTTCAGTTCGGTGCCGTCGTGAGCACAGTAAGCCTGGATAGTACGGTAGTCAGTAAAGAATAATACAGCGTGCTGGTTTTTTGGCGACTTTCGATCACAATTGGCGGCAGAGCTGCTGAATCGAGATAGAATGCATCCTATGATATCTAAGATTTCTATTTCGAGCGGTACTATTTCCCATACGAGCTTAGGGTAATGAAGTTCCAAGTGCCCTCTGTCTGCACATCCTGGATGACCATATACATATCGCCCCAGCATGGAGCCATGTCGATTGGAAAACTCGGAGATCTGAGTCGAAGATGGTCTTTGTCTTTTGGCGGCTTCTTCTGCGTCTGATAATGCTACCACACTTATTTTTGGTGTCCAATGTTGAGATAATTTGTGGATGTTCACTTCCTCCATGACCGATGATTGTATAATTTTTGAAAGCAGAATTGTGACTTACAGTTGGAGGTTTATTTGTTGTCCGAGTACATTCTCCCTCGGGTAGTTAGCAATTTACTGTCAATGTTGTCAACCGATTAAAGACAGTGAATATGATGAGGCTGATAAGATCAAAAAGATGGGTGTAGAAACAAAGTCCTTTTTTCTTGCTCATGGAGTTATCCGAATTATGATTGTAAACAGCCTCGAAAGGGTTCTGCTGGTCTGGGCGGGAACAAGCTTGAATTTTTTGGTTGATACAGCAACAAAGCCACGAAACACGAGAACTGGTGAACCTTCCATCTTTGCTTACAATATCGTACGTAGACTGCTTAGAATGGGTACTCCACCAAAATTACACCATCCACCCACCCACTCTGACACTTCAAAAAATAACCAGGCTGACTAAGTTAAATTACCTGCTGGGTGCTTATCCAATATCTTGCCTCGAAATGGATTTATGGACATGATCCATAGACATTTGGCGGAGCTTACTTTACGTTACAATGACGATTCATTAACTGTCAATCTTACTACTTCGATGTGTCAATGGCAACTGCAGCATAGAAGTGTCGTTTAAGATCCTCAACCACTCATAATGGTCGCGCTTCCTCTATTCAAACTAGGATCCCTCTTCGTGAGGCATATCTCCAAGTATGGTGCAGTATGTATTGACTTACCATGTTGTTTCTCGAGAGATGCAAGCTAACACCTCTAAGAACTGGATCAAGAGACAGGCTCATGAGCACCAAAGATTCCGGGCGATAGCAGCTAGAGGTGGACAAGCAATGCATCAATGGAATATGAGAATCCAAGTAAACCTATTACGAGACAAACAAGCCGAAAAGAGAGCCAGAGAAAAGGCGGAGACTCCAACTGTAAAGACGGAAGAGCAGACCAAGGCGGAAGAGGCTGCGAAAAAGGCACACCATCACAATCAAGAAAATATTAGCGTTTGGAGACGGAGATTCAGACCTTTGACGGAAACCAGAGCTGTTGATCTCTTTGCTGATGTTATCGGCGATACGTTCATCCTGTCGGTCGCCATAAGCTTGTTAATGTACGAGTATATCAAAACCCAGTCAAAACCCGATTCGAACGCGGAAAAATTGGCAGAGCTACAAAAGCTCGAAGAGGAGTTGAACCTGCGGCAGAAAGAATTAGAGGAGGCACAGAAGAAGCAACAAGAGCGTGTAGAAATACTTGAACAGGTGTTGGAGGAAATTCGGAGTGCCAATGGAAAGAAAAAGTTGACATGGAAATCATGAATTTCCAGTAAATTGCGGAACATAACAGTTGTATAAGGGTGAAGAGCACCCCTTCTATATATAGCAAAGCGTTTGGGAAGCACCTGGCACCTACATATACAGATCATCCCATGAGTAGGATGTAGAGAGGAAGATGGATGTTGAGAAATCCGTAGCTGTGGAGGCAAGTGACGTATACACCTCACTATACAAATAACAACAAGGGGAAGGGAATTCACACAAAGTGGGAGAAATGGGAACTTTAAGGACGCCGAGCTCATCCACTCTCTCCCGGATGATGTAGGAAGAAGGTCCAGATGTTCAGTTATATATGTTAACTCGTCAAATGTAAAAACTATCAACAAGTATCATGCACTTTCTACAATTTCTTTGAGGTTGTGTTTATGCCTAATGTCGTTTTCTTAAATTCATAGAAAGTAGTTCTCATGGTTTCCCAAAATGACGCTAAGAAAGACTCATCTTTTTTTAGGAAGCAATAATACCAATATTCCCATTCAAACAACGCATGACGTTGGCAAACGGCCAATACAGATAACGATGTTCTGTTCATCTCTTCGCAAAAGACAACAATGGGCTTCATTGCCTTCCACTTTACTGATGGAGAAGATGCCAAAGTGGAAAGGTCGGGTTGCTGAAATGATACTCGGCTTCCAATACTGACAAATAGACAGAAGCGACTCTGAACACACATGATTTATCACTCCCAATGCAGAGTAAAACAGGTGAACAAGAGTTTTTTAGAGTTCTCTTGCTCTCTTCAGTAGATATGCAACCTATCGCAAATGTATCCGCCCGAGTCGAGAGACTCTATCACCAGACTGGAGGTCGCAATGTAGGAATAATTTTTCTTCTCCGCGAAAAGGACGGCAACGACAATGGCTTGAAAGAATTTATGGAGCTTCAAATCAGGTATTAGGAGTCAAGAATCATGACTTGGAACATGGCCCTTTTTAACATAAGTCTAGCTTGATGTCCACTTTCAAGATACCAATTCTACCTCTGATATCAGTCCCGCAAATCCTCTCAATAGTACAACCTTTTCAGAGACAACTTTGTGTCGTTCCATCCTCCAAAAGAGTCGATGCTCAATATGAGCTTCTGCCATTCAGCCACGTCGGTAACACCATGACGGAACATACAAGAAATATACTCAGCGATATCTGTCACAGTGTCCCAGAACTGGCTCGTACTGCTAGTACGACCGATGGACAAAAGCAGTTGAGGGATTGGCTTTCAGAACCCAATCCTGAATCCGCGCAGGATGTTATAGACTTTGTGAGAATTTCCTTGAAGATGATATGCTATGAACTGAAGTAGTTCTGACATGTATGAACAGTGGAAGCGAGAATATCTCCTCGATTAAGATAGATACTCAGGGGATTTGAACTCCATATGATTCCAATGCTTGCTCATTTCATATGTGATCGTTCTTGATGGAAGAAGTCTCTACAAAGGATGTCTCACATTCCGGTGGTGGAAGGGAGAATCATCGAGAGAGCACTCGTGGACGTGTGAAGAGAAGCATTTAGAAACCGAACTGGCTCATACTTGTCACTTGCTCAATTGTAAAGATGACCAACAAATCAGATTACTTTCGTGTTGTTTCTTGACGCGGCTATCATGATAGAAATTACGATGAGATGTACGAAATTAATCCTCTTAAAAATTGGTGGCTGATTTGACGGTGACGTAGCACCCCTCATATTTACTCATGGTGGGGTCGGATGTCTTGATCCCATCCCAACCCAATGTAACCAAACCGGATGGCGCCGACGAGTGTATGACACGCATTAAATTATATAAAGTCAACCATACGATTCCAAGCAAAAATAAGAAATAGTAATGAAATTATGAGACCCAGTCGACCCCACTCCAAATGGTCAAAAAGGAGTCGTGTGAGATGAAAGGTTAGAATGAAACCTGGAATGTGACGTCATAAGAATGAGGGGTTGAAACCACGCCAGGAACGAAAACTGCAGCTGCCAACAAATTGACTCAATCTGATTGAGCTACAAAACCAGCCAACGTTCCTCTTTCTGCAACTCTTTCCTTCCTCATACACATAAATCAATCAAACGAACAAACAAGCAAACAACCTCACGAATATCAACGATCAATAATTATTTCAACTACATACCAAACATCTTCTTTCAATCAACACCACAACCGCAATCATGAAGGCTTCAGGATCCCAAACCAAGATTCATTACAAGGGTACCAAGACCGATGAGGACTTCATCGTCTTTGTAGACTCAGAGGAAGATCTCAAGAAGTGGAAGGGAGACAAGAGCATTCCTCTTGCACAAGTTGTCGGTCTCTTCAAGGTCTTCGTTACACACAAGTAAGCTCTTTCCCTCATCATTACCCCACACTCCATGTGAAGCTTCAGCTTCTCACCAACGCTTTCTTCTACATCGGAACACTTGCACAGAGCCTTGATTTATTCTTTTGATCATCAAATTAACACAATAAACTTCTAGGCACGGAGCTCAAGGTACCCACGACGAAGCTTCGGAGTCTCAATTGGTGAACGAGTTCGATACCAAGGTTGAGGATGATATCATCAAGACCATTCTAGAGAAGGGAGAGGCACAACACGGTTCTGTATGTTTACCCTTTCCCGTATGCACGTACATTCTATCAAAGCAAAGACTAATAACATTACCTTACCCCGCAGTCAATGGAGAAGACCGGACCCAAGAATGATAGCATGGGCGCAATGAGTGCTCATTAGAGTATTTACATCGGAGTTGGCGAATGGTTTGAACGGGATGGAATGGGATATGATATGATATGATACTATTTGCATGCATGCATTTTGTGACATGACATCGCACGATTTTCGCTGGAGATATGGATCAATACCCTTGGAGGAAAGGATGGGAAGATCACTACAAAACATTATAATTTGATGAGATATCTATCGTATTGCCTCTTTAATTAGCTGGTATTAGGCACTAGTGGAATATCTAGTAGCAACGGATGCTCAATGAAAAAAAAAGATAAACTCCATTGTTATGTTCACCGACTGTGTTGTGAATGATCACTAAATGCGAGAAATGCTTTTTACGAATAAAAGAACAGCAAACAGCCTTTACCACACTTTAGCTTAGTAATTATCAAAATGCACGAACTCATCTCTGAGTATCTACCAAAATCAAGAGAACTGTTTAGTTTTTGTCACGATTTCTACGAGTCCAAGATTAGACTTGTGGACGATCCACTTCACAGCGAAGATATGAAAAGAGAAGACTGAGAAACCTGGTTCAGAGCTCAAGAAACGGTGATTAAAGCTGGTTTTTATTCTCTTAATCGCAATTGCAATCGAACTTCTCTTTTCAAAGCAAACCTCAATCAGTTCAAAACAGTCCATTCGTCAAAGCAACCAATCGTCGGGAGGATCTCGAAGGCCTCTGACTCTGTATTGATTTCGAGTCTATACAGGTCTTAGATGACACGTTTACCAAATTTCATGGCACACGCGAGTAGGATATGTAATTATCGTCAAAAACTATACGTCAAGATATCACTTGATGCGGAAAGCGAGTGCTCCGTGATTGTTCTATACACAAGAAGGTCCATACATAGTATAATGCCCAGCATATGATGGTGGTAGTAATTGCGTCCCTGCTAGAGACTTTCGGCAGTCAAGAACATGACAGAACTTAGGATGGGCGTCCATTTAGTAAATGTGAAATCTAACAAGAACGTCTGCAAGGAATTGAAAAGGTCACACTTCATATCAAGGACCAGTGAGGTTTTGGCACTGAAGCTGTGGAATCCGGGACGGATGTAGGACAGTGAGGGTGTTGTGCGGCTTATTGCGGTCGTCTTGTTTGATAACCCATATCGAACTACGATTGCCATAGGAGACGTCCCTCCTACCAGTCTGTGAGGTCCTTTCTGAGTTCCACCAAAACAGAATGCCATAGGATTCTTTGTAAATACTGAAACCCAATCACTGCTGGCACTTTTGAACACTAGAATTTACTTGTACACTTGACGCCGTCCATAAAAATGGCATAGTGCATATGGAGTCAAAGCCAGAAAACATCGCCCTGGGCAAAAGTACGCACGCTATACCGATCGACTTTGTTGAAATTGAAGATACAACTTGAGAGTAGCTATGACTAGAGATGAATCTCTACTGGAACCGTTCTCGAAAGACCTTGCAGCATGGAACCAGAATTCATTCGGGCACAGAGGCAGATCCTCTCTACAATGGCTCACGCTACGTGTAATTTGATGAAGCACAAAGTGCTAAGCAAATCTCGCGCCTTGCTATCACAGAGCTCTCTCCTTGGATTCCACTTCAGGATGCAATTTCTATAATTTCGTCATCAGAAGGTATCTAATGCGAACAGGCCGAAACCACTCCAGTCAACACTACCGGTGTCAAAGTTAACATCGAAGTGACCACCTGGTATCAAGACAACTCAAGATGTGTTTCAGAAACAACTACCAAAACCAAACCTACCCGAATCATGACGATTATCCCAAGTCTTTATTCGCATTTAATCCAGATAGCATGACCGTCCTATAGGACTAGCATCTTCCAAGTTGCTACCATGACTACAAAGCGATCTACTTTTCTTGACATAGGTATCGATAGGTTCCACAATGTCACAGCATAATGTCCGCAACTACTAACATAGGGTATGAATTCACATCGTATCTATCTGCTAGCATTCTAAATTGGGGTTTGGCGAGTTTGACTTGCATGACGACCAGAATATGTTACTTTTTAGATCCCAACGGCTTTCATCACCACTGTTTCAATCTTGAAGAGTCGACGCCTGTATAGCAACATACCACCTTTTTAGAAGCTCCAAATATAGTCACAGGGTTGCATCATGGTTTATTAGAAGGTGGTTCCCACATTCAAAGAGCTCTTCTCATCTACTTACATTGCTGCCAACTATCTGACCTTTAGGACCTTCCCAAATTGTATTTTTATTATCACTAATACTAAATATAAGAAAATCATGGTATAGAAGTACAAGGAATACAAAACATAGAAATAATGGCTGATGCTAATTAGACGCCAGACATATGCAGGCTTACCTTCACAGAAGCTACTTTGAATTCTATTCCTCCCAAAAAGGCACTTTTCCGCGACCTGAGATCTAACAATTTTGTACCAGTGATTCTCTCTATGTTACTAGCAAATTGACTTCCTTGACCAATTCTTGCTCTGGTTCTTGCTCTGGCTCACCCACTTCCATGCCTTCTTCGCAGCACATGTTGCTTGTGCCCCCTCGGCATCTTCATCTCATCATAACCAACTCTGATTACATTATGTGATACAAATAGATTATACTTCATTCCCCGAATATATTACATAGTTTTTAATCCTAGGTCACTCATAATTCTTAGCTGTAACATTAATCGTCCGGTTCCAATATCATCCTAATCACTACCCGAGCTATTCAAAATAATAGTAAAGTACCAACAACTCATTCACATTTCTACAACCGGGATTCAAACCCCCTACCAAATGACAGACAAAGCCATCGGGTATTCCAATACATAGAGGTAGGTACCTACAGATAAAGATTAACACACATCGAATCATTCCACACCGACAGATATATTTCCATACCCCCAAACCCATAAATAGAAATTACCTACACCTAGGGCACTCATAGATCCCCAGTAAACCACCTGCAACACACAACATCAAATCACAATACACCCTCATCCGCCCGCACCCAAATATACATATATACATAGATACATGCATGCATAGTCTTCAGCCCATCACCACCACACCTCTTAATCCGATTCTTCAATCTTTGATTGATTATTCAATATACATGGCTACACACACCCATACATATACAAATACAAATACAACCACACACACCAGCGCCCCTTCCAAACCCCAACCCCAACCCCAAAAAACTCAATAGCAATACCTACCCAGCCACTCCCCAAAATCCCCAAAGAATCAGATTACCTAGTCAATCAAACACACACGTAAACTAAGCCCTACAGGATCCGGTATTTATCATATGTACTCCGTATTCATTCACCGGGAGCGAGTACCGATGCTAGGTACCCAGCCCAGGTACCTCCCCGGTTTGTTCGTTGTGGTAGAGGCTGTGCACGCGTGTACACGTTGGATTAATCATAGGGGATAGGATTCTAGAATATTGATCGGGGAATGGGATTTTAATTTGGAGAATGGAGATTTTTGTTTCGGATATTTGATAATAGGGGATAGATAGGTAGGTAGATAGATAGATGGATGGATATCTTTGGTGAAGATGAAGATGTATATATATATATATATATAGGTAGGTAGGTAGGGTATCTAGATAGATACCAAGTAGGCAGGTAGGGGGTATCTATTTATACATCCATCCATCCATCCACTCACACACCAATCCAATCCAAACACCCATACAAACCCCAATCAAACCAATCAAACCAATCAACCAAAAAAAAGAACATACCTCAAGTTATCGTACTCGTATTTTTATTTTATTAATAAAACACCAACCCCCAATCCCCAATCCCTAGCTAACATCAGCGTCTCGCGGTAAGTAACCTTACGGAGCAAGGCAGGAACTTGCCTTGCATCGGTTTCTCGGTTGCTCAATCGGTCGATTTACTAGGTCCTGGTGGTCTGTCTGGTCTGGTCTGGTCTGGTCGGCCGGGTGGACGGATACCGGAATGAACTTTTGGGAGAATGGTTGAATCAGTGATTGAATATCGTAAATGATGGATGGATAATCTTGGTGTTTATGTGTGTGTGTGTGTGTGTGTGTGTGTGTTTGTCTCGAGATGATACACGAAGGGGGCGAATATATATATTTATACATGTATTTATACATGTATACGAAGCGGAATGAGTTGAGACGGGCGGGTATTCGAAACTATCAATCAATCTCGAGGAGGGCGCGGACTAGGCGAGCGATGATGTGAGTATGTAGGGGGAGGAGACGGGTGTTGGTGGGTTCATTCGTGGTTATTTACTTTCAAGGTTGTATCATAGAGGTACTTTGTATATTTATGTATTATACAAAAGTAATTGCCTACTAGGTACTTATCTAGTTAGTATTCAAGCACGCAAGAAATGAGTATTACTTTATATACATATCGTAGGTACATAGATACATACCTAGTAGGTACATAGTATCACCCAAATGATCTGACATCCCTCCATCACGCATCACGCATCACGCATCACGCATCTCGCATTTCAAATCTCAAATCTCGAATCTAGCTCCTCGAGATTCGGGGAGTTGGGAGACAAAGGTTATCTGTCCCTCTTTTGGAGTGTATTTTTCTTAGATATATACTCGTATGTAATAACCTTATTCCGGATGAGACGGTAAAATACTATGATATGATATAAAATACAACACAACACAATACAACACCACACCATAAACTTTTTCACATCTGCTTACCATACATACCTATATACCAGTATCCAATTTCCGCACTCACGAATACATTTTCCCATGCTACCTACTAATATAATATAATATAATAATAAATCCAGATTGGAGTTTAGGAGCAAAGTGATAGATATGCGGGTACCTAGATACTATATACATGTACGGCAAGAAGATATAGGAGTTGAGTGACGACGGAGAATATTACTCGATTGTGATTCTCGATTTCTTGTTCTACATTGATTCGGACGAAGGTGAGGGTGGGAATGTGTGGATGGATACGAGTTGAGTTGAGAGTTGGGTGAGCAGAGGTAGGTAGGTATTAGATGATGGGGTACTCCGTAGAGTAGGTATCTCTATGAAGAATCACAATGGTATGTATGTACACAGAGAAGATAGAGAGCGAGCGAGCAAGAGGGATGATTTAGAGAATGATGAGTATTCGATTTGACATTAAGTATGAAAGATGTATGTATGCATGCATGGAATGTGCATACAAATCTTAAGTAGGCTGTCTTTCTTTTCGTCTGTCTCTCGATACACTCCTCTCCACAAGGTTGTCAAAGCAAACACAACTGGTTTGTCAGATGTTGTGAATTATTAACGATAGACAACATCTTGAAGTTCGAGAGACTATCACGCGTAGTCAATTCTAACCCGCCTCTATCCACCTTCAAACTTCCATTTCCATTCCCCTCCCATTTCCATTTCCATCCTCATCCATCTCCATCTTTCCATTCATTCATCTCACATTACCCCCCACCCAAAGATTAAACGCCGTCCGCTGATGAATTCCCCCAATCCCTCGAAACTCCAACCCTAATATGCAATCCTGCCCTTGCAGTTGGGTGAATGAGATGTCGTAGTCATTCATGTATATCCATGCCGTTCCATATCCCTCTACCATAGTCCCTGCCTTTCCTTTTCTATCCCTCACCCAGCACGTCACCATGTCCTCTCCTCTCCGTTAGACCTTTCCCGTTGTGGATCTCCGAGGAGGAAGCTTCCAAACCCCAGCTATCACTTCCCCTTCACTATACGCCCAGAAATATACCACTAGTCCAATGGTGTAGTAGATAGCTGGGTTGGTGGCTTGGTATAGTAACGCGGAAGCCAAAGCTGTCAAAGGGAGGATAACCAATCGAGCCTCGATGCTGCGATAGAAAGACGTGCCAACGAAGAATCCAAGTGGCCACTCCCAAGCTAGCATAAATAGGCCAAAAACCAAATTGATGATCTGTAATATTGGCAAAGGCTTGACGGCACCGTCGAGATTCTTGGTGAGAAAGTCCCAGAATATTTTGGGCCAGAAGAATCCTTCGATTGCAGCTGCTACTTGATCTAGAGTATTCGGATTAGCTTTGTGGGTGGATGAGATTGAGCTTAGTGAATACTAACAAATTGCGGCAGTGAGGACAATTAGACGTGCCCAGTGATTCTTGATAAGTCTTCCCATTCTATCCTAGAATGAAGAAGTCTTCGAACCGATGTGAGGAAAGTCACCAATGTGTGGTCTTCAGATAGACCGTAGAGGAAATAAGAAAAGGGTATCGTTGGTACAATTCGTCAGTACGGTTTGAAATAAAGAAAATCTTAATAGTAATAATAAAAAATAAGTATCCGAGCCAGCGGAGAATGTGAATAACGAAAGTAAAATTGCGTCGACTCGAAGGAATGGTATCGACGACAATGAGTGCACAGCGCTGTTGTCCCAAAAGTCGTTTTGTACCGATATATCGAGGCGTACCTCTACCTATATCCCCGGGCACCAGGACCGTAATCACTGGGCTGGAGATGATGGTCTCCTTCGTAGCTTGTATCAGGCTTATGACACCTAGTCGAAATGACGGAATGTCTAAGATGCGGTTTGAAGGGAAGAGCCCTTGAGATGATTATCTGATCTTTTCTGACAGCGGGCATCCGAGCGGCGGGGGAAAGATTATGCGTAGAAAGCTGAGATGAAGTTTGTAGTAAGGAGGACCCGGTAACCGTTGCATCAAGACATTTGAAGGTTCGGACGTCGTCTGATCCGTGATCTACCTATCTGGTGAAGATGGAGTTTGAGGAAGTAAGAGGAATTGGGTATCGAATTTGTGAGATCTTCGGAGTTATGAGACGTCTTAGTGTTTTAACATTCGAGGTGGTTCAGGTAAGTCGTTGAAAAATATCGAAAAATCGTTTCCAAACCTGCGGGTTGAGAGGTTTAAGAATCAACAGGGCAGAGGAGTGAATGGGTGTCATGAGATGAGCGGGGGGGGGGAGGGGGGACAAGGTGAATGGTACCTTGGTAGTAACGTTAAAAAAAAGGTCTACTTTGGTGTACGACGCTTTTCTATCTTGGGTTGCCATGATATCTACATCTTGGATCTGCAGCCACTGGCACTGAGAACGGGATTGACATGCACGATTGGGGCAACTCATGTATACAAGGATGGAACGGAGAGAAAAAAATGATTTTGGGAGGGGGAGATGAAGATGCTCCCCATTTTAGGATAGTCGAGTAGATCCAATAGATCTCCTTGTGGCTACACATGAATATCGTACCGACCCGATGAATGTAGCATCATGAGGGTAAAGTCGATGGTCATTGGATCGTCGATAGAAAAATACGTGGTGTGGTTGAGAAGAGAGGACGATGATTGGATGCTTTGCTCAAAGGTGTCGGCGCTTAGAGGTGCAGACCAAAGTGTTCACAGCCATATTTTTTTTAACTTTTTTGATCTACCAAGGCTGTGAACAGGGTTACAATGTCATAATTCCGGGATGATTGCATACGAAATGTCTCTCGTCTCTTGTTTTATCGAGCGAAGTTGTCGCCAAAATGCATGGTGGGTATGATCTGACCCGGAATGGCCAGGAATTATGCACAGAGCACACCTCGAACTGGTGAACCCTTGGATGCTGCAAGGTACTACTACCTGGACTGACGGGATCTCAGGGGATCGACTGGCTGATGGACGTTCTCACGCATCTTGGACATCCAATAGGACAATTCTTCAACATCTATCGTGCATGGGAGGAGAGAAGGAGGAGGGGGGTTCGGCGACGAGATTAGTTCATGGGAAATATTTGTATTTGATGGAAAGGGAAAGAGGAAGGTTACACGTCCAAGCAATTGTGACTTTATGACTTGGAAAGGACGAGAATGATACTTCAATTGGACATACCTATTATACATGTACCTAGGGAGTAGGTATGTATGTATAATCTAAAAGTATATATATAACTTGGAAGCTTTTTATTTCAAATACTTTGCATACACCAATACTTGGGTATTCACCATTAATAGAATGAATGATGATATTCTCTGTACATAGGTACGAACGAGGTAGCTGGAGGCAGTAGGTACTTGGTGGGTATCTTTCAATCTCATCCCGTGATTTTGTTATATCATATATGAGCATTGAGAGAGTATCACTATTAGATACTACCTTATATGTTAGGTAGATGTTACATATTACATACCACATATTATATGTTAGGTAGATGTTATATATTACATACCACATATTATATGTTAGGTAGATGTTACATATTACATACAACATATTATATACCATCATGTCTCATCGCTCTCAATCATCATTCATCATCACACCTGGCCCATTTCCACAGCTTCATCAGCGTTACACATGATCCATTGCAAAGTGTCACATAGATGATGGATGGAATAAAGTGAACGAAAATCCAGAATCCAGAAACCGTTTGAGAAAAAAATGGCCTTCACGTTTCGTCTCATCATGATTATTCATCGATGGATGACCGCATTGAGTGACATGTTTGGGGCTTTCAAGGTTCTCCGATTCATCTCATCCATGATCCATCCTTCTCCATCATCTCAAGTGTGTACGGCAACGGTCAGCAAAGTGTATTTTTGCATGACAGTAAGCCTTGTACAATGATAAAAATAATCCCTTGACAACCTGCCATCTGATATCTGTCACGGAGAATAACCGCTATCGTGAGACGAGGGGCTCTGACAATTCTGGCCGGGCTTTAGTTTGATCGAGGGATCTAGGGGTCTCCCTCTAAACGGTTGATGTCGCAGAGATTCGAGAGATGAAAAGAATGGGAAGAAAAGAGATGGTGTTGTTGCTATTTTGGGTCCATTGAATGAATAAATCTTCCTTGCCAATTACTTGTTAGTATTCTGTATATCGTAGTATTACTATTACTGCCAAGGTTGCTCTTTCTCTTCCATTCTTGCACTTCAAAAATTGACAGAATCCATTTCTGGATTTCTTATCTTATCAACATCCACCATCCATCCATTGGCGATGTCACTCACTATCTCACGCACGATTCACCACCGACCGCCGACCGAACGATTGATCATTTGATATGCAAATTTTGACTGTCGAATTCAGAGCGGTGTGATATGTGATCGGGAACTCCGTCATCCGTTGCCCATCCGTTACCTGCCAGTGCCAGTACATATCCGTGATTCATTCCCCACAAAGTCACTTGCGCAAGTTGCGTGAGAAGTGGACCGACCCTCGCGACCTTTCATCTTTTCATTGAATCCATCCCGCTCTGATTTTCATGGATCCATGTTCGATTGGACCTAATTACCGTGAACGTCGCTTCTCTTCTCCTCACTTCCTTTCACTTCACAAAGACTGTTCGTGGCGATAAACATGATATATCTCCCTATGTACCTACATACCTAGTAGGTACACCTACATATTCATACATATATATTTATAGAAACCCCATATCAAAATATGCAAGCAAAGTAGCATCCAAGTCAAAATGCAAGCAAAAAAAGAGACCAGAGCAAGGTATGCAAAGACTCCCAAATCATTACAACCCAATGATTGCACCAGGGTCCAAACTCAAAAAGTACTATGTGATCACAACGGGAGAGAATATTCAATAGCTTGCTTACTATTGTGTGATAACGATAACGGCGAGCCTATCTTGCCATCTCCAAATCCCTTCCGATTCGGCTTTAGAAGAGCCATCGAAGACATCAAAACATCGGAAGGGCCACTGGTGAGCTAATATTAGGCGTTTGCAGATGTGACTTGTTCTTAGCGTGACATTGGTTCATTCTCTTCGGGTACATATATAGCACGTGAGCTGATATCCATATCAAGTGGGCTCAGTGGGCTCAGTGGGCTTACCTTTTCTGCACGTCTTCACACCTGCACGTCGCTTCTGCTTGGAAACTAGAACCAATTGGGGTATGGACCGTATGGTGGTGGTGACATCTTCTTCATCTTCTTCTCGTCGATTCATTCAATTGCAATCTTGGAAGAGAATTTTCAAGTATCCTCGACTGGGTTCGCAAAGCGCTGGGCTGATTATCGGCCACTTCTATTTTCTTCTACTCCAGGGTGATAATCATACATGCTATACAGTTTGGTAAAGGCCGACCAGGACAGCTGTCATGGCGGAGCAATTACCTGTCTCATGTTGCGCCGTCTTTGCCCAATACCTACGCGAATGTAGGTCAATCAGTACTAATTTATATCCACAGAGCATTACTCGGATCATCAAGAATATATCAACTGGATCAGACTTTTGGTGGCGAATTATCGGTGTACACCGCATGAGGTATTTTGGTCTACGATCGCTATTCTCTTGTGCCTGCAAATCCCTCAGCCATTCGAACGATCATCTCCAACAGCCCAAATCCCGACCGGCACATTTCGCTACGACACAGCAATTTTATATCCTCTACACGAGGTTCAATTCGAATCACAATATTTGATTCAGAGTTTGGGTGATGAGACATAGAATCTTTTCATGTCTCACGAGTTCATCATCTTCACAGTCAATGATTATGTTATCATCATAAGCTTGATAAAATCGTACAGACTTGTTTATTTCCATCCTACATTCCCATACAATCAAAGACAACTTTCTAAGCCGGTGTCGGATTAAACAAGAGTGGCTAATGAGTAATATTCTTGTATCCAAACAGTTTTAACCTTTTTCTCACACCTATTGAAGTCTTCCAGTGGAATGAACATTGTGGCGTGCATCCTCAAGTGCAGATGTACCTCATTTGAGTCGACATGCCACTCCACTATCACAAATCTCTTCAAGAGCTTCTTTTCCACGTCCAGCTCGTTCGGATCACATCTTCCTTTTACTTTCGGACAGTTCAATTTAAGTCCTTGTCCCACTATTCTTGGGGGTTTTTCCTTCTTGCTTCTTGGCATGTTTCTTATATAGACGCCCCTCCGTGTCTGTGTTATCCTTTGAATCGCTTGAATTCAATCGTGCGGCCTGCCTTTTGATCTTATCGTGTATGTCCTCTGTCTTGTGGCCACTACCAGCGTCGCTATGTCTGCTGTATGTGTAGGAAGACCGTTGATTTCTACCGCCATTTATTTCACTCGTCAAGTCCGCTTGCTTCTGTGCATGTCTTTCGTCTTTCTCTCTCCTCTTTGACAGGGAATGCAACATCTTTGCTGTGGTAAGATCGATGATACTAATACAAAGTAACTGTTTGCAACGAAAGAAGTGATTTTATGATGATGTGAGTACTGAGATCTGATCTGATAAAGCATGGTTGCATCAGCATCGACAGAAAACAAACCGCATTATATAGAAACTCCAACACTACAACGGTCGATAAGAAAAGCCTGAAGGAACTCCCATCTCATGTATTCCGACAATACATTGGTTCAATCGAGGCTTGTTGCATGTACATGAACAAAATGATGTGTCGAAAAACATGTTTTAGCCGCTTGCAAGCCAAGCTGGGGAGTAACCATCAAAAAATGGGATTTTGGTTGCGAGGCGGACACATGTGTGTATGCGCAAATCGTGAGAAACAATCATAATCATAGTCATAATCATAATCAAAGTCTCCTGCTGAATGAGCATCAACCAAGTAGGTACTCATTCCTCCTATGCAAACGAGCTAAATCATCATTCTCAATCAACATCCGCACTCGCGGCCATTTTGCATCAATCTAATCGTTCAAACAAATAAACAAACACCAACAATTAACTTTGATAACTTTGATATACCGATCCATTTTCTTTCGTGTCGATCATCGAGTAATGTACATTTCGTGCACCATCCCATTACGAGATCTTAAACTTATATTGTAATAGTATGGATTTTTGAATATTGATGGATTCTTATGCACATATAAGGTTACTGAAAAATGGAAAGTAATCCATATTTACTTCACTTGACTCAATGAGACGAGACGAGACGAAACGAGAGAAGAGAGCGAATCGTAGTTAATTTCTTCATGAAAATCGAGTATTTGAGCTCTTATTTCTTCCATCACAAATAAGAGGTTTGTGTAGGAAAATAGATTTCTAGTTAAAAGGTATCATTGGCGCTTCGCTCATACATAGGTCTATACATGTTACATGTACGAATGCATACTGCTCTTCTCACACAACATCATTGTTCGAGTAATCGTATACATCAACACATCACACATACCCCACAAACCAGATTCCGCGGTTCGAGAGAGATCGACTCGCTACACATGGCAGTCCCGCTTATTCGTTATGAACTCTTCCGCGAGTAAATAAATATATACGCTAACCCCTCATTCAAATACCATACACGCCCGCTTCACTCATCGCTCTCCTCGCGAATGCGCATCCCAATGCGACTCCAATCCGGAAGACTCCACTCCAGCTCCCTACTTCTCCTCAACCAATCCTGCAGAACCAGATACACGATTCTGAGATCGACCAGTCTTCTGGATGCCTTGTCGGGCAAGAATTGTTTGAAGCCGTAGATGATATCCAGATAATGGACGTCCAAGAGATTGACCCACTGGATCGTCGTCGCCTGGTTCGACCGATGAATCATACATGCACGCATGATGTCGAGAAACTCGTCATAGATTTCCGGGCGAGTGTATTGGAAAGTGTCCTGTGGTGGGGCAGTCAACATGTGGCGTCGTTGTAACATTCCTTCATATGATAACGGACCCGAATTTGATGGATATAGTTCTCGGCGTCTCTGCGAGTTGGCGGCGGTGGGGTATTCATGTTGTTCTCGGGGCTTCAATATTATCAGGGAACCCTTGTATTCTATCTTGGGATGTTCAAGTTAGCTGCAGGCAGTCTATCCCAGTCTAACACCCACCTCTTGGCTGTCGCAGTTGAGATTATAGGGATATGGGCGGAATAAAGTTGACCTTGACGTTCAGCAAAGAAGGTGACGCTACAAGAGTAAAAGCGCCTTTGACAAGTTAAGAGGATAGTTTGGATGTTGGGAAGTTGGAATATTGCTAATGCTACTGGTGCAACAGATGTTTAGAATGCTGATAAAGGGAAAATGCTTAAATAGTTGTATGCGAAGGGTGAATGAAGCTCCAGTAAGTCTTACAATAAGATATCGAGAAGAAGCATATTTAATAGTATCTCTGAAAATCAGACAAGGAATGGTCCTGTGTTTGGAAGTTAAAGCCACTTAGAGAAGTGCAAGTACTAACAAGACCTATCATAGGGGCGGCTTATCTGTTCGAAAGGCCCAATATTGAATATACATGTAGAAGGAACGAAGCAGATACTATTACCATGGTACGATCAAGCTTCCTCATTTGTGTCACCGGTGGCGTGCCTTACAAACACTTTCTCAGCATATTCAGAGGAAACCCCAGCTCTTGTCGAGACGGCGGCATCGGTCAAGGCAAGTGAGTTTTTTAAATGCAGCTATAAAGTAGATTAAAGTGGATGGAGAGAATAGATAGATGGATTCTGGGTTGCAAATTCGTGTGTTGAGGACATTGTCCGCTCCCTTTTCGCTATCTGTTAGCGTCATCACATCAAAGCATACGGATTATTGCTCCTCGTGCACACATCTCAATCACCTCCGGAAAAAAAATGCATTTGCATGATCTTGAATTCTTTAAGCGGTCTGCAATAAAGCTCTACGATGTTATCTTGCAGATACATATTCACCCTTGTTTGTGGAAGACAACTGATGACAACCCAGAGAGCCTGCCAGGAACTTGCGTTTCCTCGAAGATTGGAAACAAGCATCTTGCTCACGAAGGCTCATAATTTACCATCCACCAAGCTCCTGCTGGATTCGTTCGAGCATTTGAGTACCGTGGAACCCCATTTCCCGTTTTACTTTAGGAACATGAAACTTGACCAAGTCCTCTTCAACACCTTTCTCAAGCTTAAGTCCCAAATCTTCATTTTTGATGCTCAAATGATTAGCACATTTTTCTTCATCCTTGACATGTGCTTCAGCTCTAACATACTTCTTATTTTTGTAGTCTGCACACGTTTGGCCTTGATGAGACGCATGGCATGGGATACAAGTCTCAACGAGACATTTGGCACAAGTGCGGGATTTGGTGGGAATGTTGACCCGGTAGACTTGTTCACAGTCTTCAGTTGGACAATAATGAAAATTATTGCGATGATGACGAATGTACGAAGTGAACGATGCATTAAGTAGCTCCTCAAAACTTTTGGATGGTAGATTTTGCTCAATCTCTTGTAGGGAGAGGACGACATCGCATCCAATAGCCTTACAATTGATGGATAGCTCTTGGTCGCTTGGTATGGTCAAGGAGCAGAGATGCTCAAAGCATTGAAGACAATACAAATGGCCACAGTTGGTGCGGACTGGATACTCAGCAGGACACCAGCAAACGCTGCAGTCGTCTTTGTCTTCACCTGTTTCCATCTTGTCAATCCTGCCAGCAGCAGTACTCCTGGACTTTAAGACTGCCATGGCAGTGTGGTAGTTCTTAGGATTACCAGTAAGTAAGATCTTTTTTGGATTCGACAATATATCAATCGAAGCAACATCTTTTCCAAGAACTGATACTATTTGATCAAATCCGCCACCTGCTACCCACGAAAAGTCACTTGGAGTGAGCTTAATAGCATAACCTTCTACTTCTGATGTGACAATTCTGTGAAGTGTGTGTTGAGCGCTGTCGATATCTCTGGGTAAACCATAAAGCCGAAGTTGTTGTCTTGTTCTGTCTCGATCAATAACAACGTTATAATCGTCTGCAACTCTCTTGATCTTTATCAATCCAATTGGTTGCATGAAGTAGTCATTCCAAACTGGCTTACCCCCTACCAGAGCCACTGTACCGATCAATATCTTCTCCAGCTTATTTTTGGCGTTGGTAAAGTTCTCTCCGGGCTCCCCGTCAATCTTTAAAGTTGTGAACTTCTTTGCGACATCAGTGCTTGGGTATGCCCTGATGGTAATTCTCTGCCCTATCAGTGACTTCTTTTCATCTTCAACTTGCGATTGTACAGCAGAGTATATCTTTGTGACAACCTTAAAACGAGTCGAAATGATCTGTTGAGCCATGATTTTTCCCTTCCCCAATATTTCAATGTTTCTATTGTTTAATTGTGCAATCGCCTCTCGGGCATCTGACTCGTCTTGAAATCGTACCCTTACTTTAACTCTCTTAGCTGCCGGATCTTGAACAGGATCCCAAGACTCTACGGGGCCAATGGCTGAGCTTAATTTCCTGACATATTCACGAGATACTTCGTCAGATGCTTCATAGCTCGGTCTGCCAATTTCCAATTCATCTGGTCTGTATTTCTCATCCATCGCACCTAAGATGTCCTCTTTGTCTGCAAACACCGGTACATTCTTCAAGATACATAGGAATCTGTATTTTTTATCAGTCAAGATGTGGGAGATAATAGGCGAATCGCAAGCTAAATGTTTGCCCACAACTCTGTAGTAGCCGTTGTTGAAGTTGTTGCATATCATATTGGCGACGTCCTCATTTGCATATTTCAGGACGGCCATCTTAGAAGATCGATACCAAGTCAAAAACACTTCATGGAAGTCGAATTCACTTGAAAATCCAGAGACAGGAAATAAACTTGTAGGGACTGGGCTCGCCTTTAATTCGGAGTACATCTTAAATCTTCTCCAACCGGATTCCAATTTTTCGCTTAAAATCGAGCCGACGGTGGAATCTTCAATTCGCAGGTAGGCAAGGACGGAGGGCGGAGTACCAATGCTAGTAATTCGAATGCAAGTTCCATGTGTGCCAAGGTCGAGTCTAGCTAGCATTGTCTCAATGTACTCGATGTTGGTATCCTGTGGCAAGCCGGTGATTCGGATAGTTGTAAAGTCAGACGGAACCGAAATTTTGTAGACTTTTCCTCCATCTTCAAATATTGTCAAGGCTCCAGAGATTGCTCGTGCAATCATACCTTTTGGTACATTATCCTAGATAATATATCAGTTGCAACTTCAAAACACTAGCACGTTGAAAAGGGGGAAAGCCATACATAATTCTTAGTGACTGCAGATGGTACATCTAGAACAGCAGATGATGTATCGATGGCGGTGGAAGAAAATGTATAAGTCTTCTTGGTATGTTGCGTATCTGGAGGCTTGGTTTCGTTGTTATCGGGCTCAATTGGATTATGTAGGTAAAGGCAATCGCTTCCCTTTGTACACTTTCCTCTGGCAAAAAAAATGCAGGTTGGGCGGACAGGAGTTTGTGAAGAAGCTTTCACTTCAATCTCATGGCTGAAAGGACAGTTGTTACCCCTTTGACATCTTCCTCTTGCAAAAAAGCTACAGAGTGGAGTGGCAGATGGTTTTTGCGACGGAGTTGCTGGCTCAATTCCATGGCTAAAAGGACAGTCTTCACCCTTCTGACAATGACCTTTCGCAAGAAACCTACAAGCGATAAGTTTTGTTGCTATAGGACGTGAATTCTGACCAGGAGGTTGATTTTCGTCGTTTGAGATCAACGAAAGAATTAAATCAGGCATGTGTTTTGTGATGGTTGTATCATGGCTGTATTGACAAGTACTGCCACGACCGCACCCGGTAGCAGTTAAGAAGTACTTGCAGGGTATCATCATAGAGGTTTGATTCTCTCGTCGGATGGATGGCGTTTGAAAGTTGTTGATGTGTTGGTTTTCTTTGGTAGGAGGTGTGAAATTGTATGTGATGAACACTTATCTCTTCTGACAAACTTCGAGTTGACTTTGCAATTTCAAAGTAGGCACCTAGTCTGACTATATTTGAGGATGAAACAAGAGTGAAAATATGGCCCTGTTGGAAATCGTGATAGTGAATGTGTTGAAACCTGGCAAGAGAATGGGATTGCTTTCCAATCTACCTTTGAGATGACCCGGCGATACGAATACTTCTTGGATGATACCAATGATCAGGAAGAATGTAATCGCTCTTGCTCACTGTTTATCTTCCGCAGCAAAAAGGAATGAATGCTGAAAATAGTGAAAATTACGCGGTCTCATGCCTCACCGTCGCGAAAAAGAGTGAAGATCAAAGAGCATCTGCCAAAGTGCTGATCTAAGTGTAAATTATCCCTCGATTGATACCTGGTAGTGTATTTCAAGAGGGGTAAGTTTGAGATGAAAGTATTATGTGAAGTTATATCGCAAATGTAGGTATGATTGGCGGGAAGTGATTGGTGGAGTGCAATGAATAACTTTGGTGAAGTTACTTTTTAAACGCTTAACAATTTAATTGATTGCGCTAAGGAACTTGACTTTCGAAGCAAGAGCGTCTGATGGGTAGAACCTTCCAGATTCATCAGAAGATATGTGTGTATTTGTGACTTTCTTCCTTCTTCTCTTCTATTTTTCTTTCCTTTCTTTTCATTTCTTTCCTCTCCTTCTCTTCTCTGTCCTTGCCTTTGCTTTCTTGCTTTGCTTTGCTTTTCTCTTTCTCCTCCTGCTACCTTTCATCTCTCAAACCTTCCAGACTTCTCAAGTCAATCCTATATCAAACTTTCCCATTCCACGTATCTCTCCGAACCCAAATGTCCCGATGCCAATAATCTGTCAAATTCCTCTTGCTTTGCCCCATTTCGCATCCTCAAAGGCCATTTCTCAACCAAAGTATTCTTGATTTTGATTTTTAACCCTTCCATTTCACTGATTTCATACAAGCAACATTCCTTCATAAACCTATCAAAGAGCTCGTCAACATCTTGAAACTTAGATCGCGCATCGTTGTATCTCAGAAAGTCCGCATTGTAAGGCTGAAGCATGTCTCGTTGAATTGTCATATACCTATGTAATTTTGCTGAATCTGTTGCTATGCTTTCAATGTAATCATTTTCCGTACGGCTTTCGTGGACAGCGTTGAGGAATAAAGCAAGAAGTGTGGCATGCGGATTCTGTGATTTACGCTTCAGGTAAGGAGCGAAAGTCATCAGAAGTTTTTGAGGTCCAATGTAGCCACGGTCTCCAATATTTGAAACCTGTGAACTATCAACAATCTATACTACACTTACAACCGGTCAAAGATTACCTCAATTCTGTCGAAATAGACCTTTCCAATGCCGCGCTCCTTCATGATACCTGGCAGATCCACTGCATCAAGTTCGAATAGTTGAAAGCGGATTTTCAAATTCTCAATTCGCTTGCAAAAGCTTTGAAGTTGGTCTTGAAGGTAGAAATAAAGGCTGCCATAGATATCGTTTCGAGCAGGTGAAGGTTTAGAAAGATGTTCTGCGAGAGGCCATCCTTCCAATGGGTCGGCAGAATCCATCATGGGCCAAAATCCAGTACTCTGAAACAGCGTTCTGTCGTTGCATTAGCAAGTACACTTTCGAAAGACTTGAAGATATTTACGGATTTGGCATAGTGAAATCCTTGCGAGAATATCCGAAGGGAAGAAGCATGCCATCAGTACGGAACTTAGTAGCACAGACACGCCATGCAGGTGGTCGAGCATAAAATTGTCGCTCGATATAATCTCTTCTTGAGGGTGGCAATGTAGTGTCAACCATTACTTTTTGTGCCTTACTAGCTGATAGTCCATCTGGAACCTTGAAAAACGAAGGAAGAAGATCCCAAGAAGCCTTCGGCAATACCAAACTTATGCTGCGAGTGCCCAGTGTCCAAGTTTTGGATTGCAAAGATTGCCCAGGGCGGCCGGCCACTTTTTTACAAACATCTTCAATCAACGGGAGGACTTTTTCCTGAAGTTTCCGCAAGTACGAATCAGTTATGAATGCAGAGTACCAGACGTGAATCATGATGTCTGCTGCTTCAATGGGGTCAAATACGAGAGCTGTGAGGAGCAAGATTGCATTCCGAGCGACAATGTCAAAATCCTTGTCGTTAATTATAAGCTCACATTTGCCCTCATACGCAATTGGGAGTTCAACGAGAGACTTGACAATATTTCTAATATCCCCAGATGCTGTAGTCTTGTCAGTCAGCAATTTTCCCCTGGACTGGATGCCTACCCGCAAATAAAAGATTGAGTTGTTCTGGCAAATCTTTTTCTTCATTCTTGCAACACTGAATTATATCAATGGCTGGAACATTACCCCATAAATACTTCTTTCTTCCGTGTTGCACCATAGTCACCCACTGTTCAGCTAGAGCGGGATCATCGTTGCCTCCAATAAATGCCGGACGACGTTTCTCCACATCCCACTGCGGTCTCCAAGATTTCTTCATAAATGGAGATTTGCAATCCTTCTTGTGGGTTTTCCAATGTGCAACTTGGCAATCTTTGCTGCAATATTGAACCAGAAAACACCCATTGCAAGCTTTCGAGGCGATTTTAGTACATGGAATCCCTCCATCATCTTCATCCTGATCAACATTGGCGCACGTAACTTTTGGGTGCTTCTGAGAGGAATCAGCCATGATAATCACAAGATTATTGAATGTTCTTGAACACAATATGCGACGAAGAAGGGAGAGACGACTAGAGCCTCTTCATATAAGTTCAACCTCCGCTCGCAATTTCTCATAGAACAAGGTAACACAAAAACAAACGTCGATTACAGGGTATTCATTGGAGCCACCTCAATCAAAAATCCGATGTAACATACCGATGGGGATCTGCACCTTACCGTCGCCAATGCAACGGAACAAACACATGACTGCGATCATCCGGACGTAGCCGAAAAAACGTTCACAATTTCTTGCTTACTTTTCGAGGCTTTGGTTCTTGATTTAGAGCATATTCTCTGGCCGATTTTCTGCATTTTGCATTCTTGATAATCATACTACCTTTCGTTTGAATATCATAATTCGAATCTCACATCAAACATAGCGGCAAACAAAGATCAATCCCCCTCACCCCCTATCCCACTCTGACAAATTCCAACCAACAAAGCACTGCTGGTCAATAGTAAAGTCTTAACTCTCAATGACCCATGTTCTTCTCTCCTTGCTTTGAATTGGAAGAAAACGTTTCACTTCTCATACAAAATTACAATTCCTAATAACCTCATCCCAAGATCGAAAATCGCCACTTCAACCCTCGAGGCCAGAGAGAAGGACTTATCGGTCTTTTATGTTAGAACGGTCCAGGCATCATGGATAAATGTTTCAAAAAAACATCTGTCTTGCATAACTTCAAACGCGAGTGGTAATGTTTTCATGAGTGATAAAAGATAGACCAAGAAAGCGGCCGCCAACCGGCCTCAAAAGAAAAACTTTCCTCGGGCCTCTGATCTTTTTCGCAAGAGCGATTTGAAGATGGATTGGATTTAGGTATGCTATGGTCTCGAGACCTATTTTTGAACCGCCAACAATATTTTTTGCCCATGCGGGTTTTTGCTGGTTATATGTTTGTATGTTTGTGTTTAGTTGTTGGTGGTTGATTTTCTCAATTTTGAAAAATCGTTCAACCCAGATATTCACAATCGTCACATTTATACCTCAATTTGCTTTACCATTTCTATGTCAAAGGAATACTTACACAGTTAGTGGCTGTAGATTTGTATCCGCATAACTTCAACCCCCTTCTCGACTTCTTACACCATCCCCAATATCATCAATCCATTCCTACCATCATCACCATCAACCCCTCTCCACCCCTTCCCCATCCCAAACTATGTTCTCCAAACCGCATTTTGAAGTCTACAGTCTCTCCACAAGTGGCTCCCTCCTTAGCACCGAACTCATCTTCATCTTCGATTCCCGCGCTGAAAGATCTACCCACTCCCTCAAATTCCTCTACCACGAATCTGCCTCCCTCCCTATCCCGCTCCCCACTCTCACCCAGACCTCCGTCCCCAGCAGCCTCGAATACCTCGGCTACATTCGGGGCGAATCCCGCGTGAAGAGGGCGCGCGCGCTCGCTAAAAACGTGCAACGGAGTGTCGAGCAACCATTTAGAAGATTCACAAATGACGTTATAAAAATTTGGATTAAAAGAAGATTACTGCTCTGGGATCAAAGTCGCACGCCGTGTGAAGTTGACGACTCGATTTTGGATGAGGAAACTCTCAAGACTAGGGATAAGAATGGAGGACTCTCGAAGTACGCAAAGGGGATGAGTAGGCATGGAAAGAACGGGGATTATGACTCTTCATCTTCATCTTCATCCTCGTCTTCACTTGCCTCCACCTCCCCATCTCAACGTTCCCTCGGCCGCTCAACCCGCGAATCTCACAGGCGTCTCTCTCGAGCCCGAACAACGCACGATTCCCCCTCAAGCACACACAGCTGGTCCTCAAAATCCTCTTCCAACCCCCCCAAACGCTTCTCCTTCTCTGTTTCCCTTTCCGCGAATACAAGTTCAAATCCCCGACACAAATCTTCACCCCACTCTCGTTCTCATCCTCATTCTCGCTCTCGCGCTCCCCCCTCTTCCTATCACGACCAAAACTCCGATTACGATTCCGGAATCGGTATGTCCGAAGACGAGTTCAACCCCCACGATGACGACGATGCAAAATCATCGATATCCTATTCATCCATCAACCCCGGCTCATCCATCTCGCATTCCGATCGTTCCTCTTCTTCTTCCCACTCCTCTGCACCCCATTCATCCCATCGCGCCCACCCCAAAAAGGATGTCTCACCCGCTATCTCCGATCTCGACGACCAGCGCAAACAAGAAGACGCTGTCCGTGATCGCA